GATCACATCGCTATCAGCCACCGTTGGAGGGTATCGATAGAAAACTGTCGTTCGTTGTGGAGCACACGTTTAGACTCAGATCAAGCTGTAGTACGAGCGCGTATTTGCTTGCGTCTTACTGGACGTAGGAAAGACGCTGCAAGGAAACCTCTTACGGTTCTACTTAATGATAGTCAAGCTAAGGGTATATTTCAGGAACAACTAGAAAAACAGTTAGGCAGCCATGTATATGATGCCCACTCCAGAGCAGAAGGGGTTGATATCCGAAAAGCTGTGGAAACAGCAGTGATATCTGCTAGTACTGTAAACCACAAGGTTAGGGAGAAACACTGGATCACAGCAGCATTTATCGCACTGATTGATGCTCGGAAACTCATTCCACCTGGCTCTGAAAATAATGAAGAGCGGAGTCAGCTTAAGTGCAAGCTGACAAGAAGTCTAAGCAATGATCGTGAACAGTGGTGGAAAAGGCAGCGGTAATAGGTAATAGCAGACAATTGTTCAGACTTGTTAGTGAAACCGGTATTAGGAGCCCGACTGTCCTCCGACTCTTTACGAATTTGAAAAAGCTATCGGAAATCTGAAACGAGGGAGAGCAACAGGCCCTGATAGGTTCACCCCTGAGGTTTTTAAGGATGGTGGTCCAGTTTTAGCAGCGAGATTAACTGAGGTCTTAGGTAGGATTTGGGAACTGGACGTAATCCCATCTGACTAGTCTCAATCACTGATTGTGCCAGTCTGTAAGAAAGGACGAAAGTCCTCTTGTAACAATCACAGAGGAATCAGTTTGACTAATATAGTGTCTAAAATATTAGCTTCAATAATACTTCGACGCCTAACTAAAGCTCGTGAAGAGCAGACTAGAGAAAATCAGGCTGGTTTTCGACCTGGACGTGGTTGTGTAGACCAGATATTCATACTACGCCAGGTTCTAGAACACAGACACACATTCAGACGCCCCACAATGGTAGTATTTCTCGACCTTAAGGCGGCATTCGACTCTGTTGATCGTGAGGTTCTATGGCAGTGTTTGTCACTGAAAGGAGTACCAAAGAAGTACATTAACCTCATAAAGGCTCTCTACTCGAACACAACCGGTAGAGTGAGAGCTTATGGCGAACTGTCATCAGAATTGATTACATCAAGTGGTGTTCGTCAGGGCTGTCCACTCTCCCCATTCTTGTTCAACTTTGTGGTCGACGTACTTTTAGAGATAACACTCTGCTCATCTAAATTTCCAGGGGTTGAACTTCTACCGGGAGGTTCACTTGTTGACTTAGAATATGCTGATGACATAGTTTTATTTGATGAAGACGCTGACAAAATGCAGAGTCTTCTGACCACTCTAAGCAACAATGCAAGCATGTTCGGGATGCGATTCTCTCCCTCGAAATGCAAAATGTTGCTTCAGGATTGGGTTGCATCGACACCTGAACTAACGATAGGAAGTGAAGTAATTGAGTGTGTCGACCACTTCATTTATCTTGGAAGTCTCATCAACCCTTGTGGTGTGGTGTGTGACGAAATCTCAGCACGGATACAGAGGGCTCGACTAGCCTTTGCCAACTTGCGTCATTTATGGCGTAGGCGAGATATCCGTCTACCAACCAAAGGACGTGTTTACTGCGCAGCAGTTCGTTCCGTCCTACTTTATGGCAGTGAAACATGGCCGGTAAGAGCAGAGGATATTCGTAGGTTACTAGTATTCGATCATAGGTGTCTTCGAAACATTGCTCGTATATCATGGGACCATCGAGTAAGTAACACAGTTGTTAGGAAACGGGTACTAGGTAAGGATGGCAAATCAATTGATGAAGTAGTGAAACTTCATCAGTTGAGATGGCTAGGACACGTGTTACGTATGCCCAACGACCGACTGCCTCGACGTGCTATGTTCAGTGGTATAGGAGTAGGTTGGAAGAAAGCTAGGGGCTGCCAAACCAAAACATGGCACAAGTCCATGAAGTCACTGACAAGTGAACTGAGCCATGTTGGTAGGTGTAGACGACCTTGTTGGGATCTGCGAGACGATAACAACCGATGCTTAGAGACCTTGAATGACATGACTCAAAATCGTTTGAAATGACGTGAGCAGGTTCATCCACTCTTTGTGTTCTCCAAAATTCTAATCTTCTGAATTCTTCATGTCCCTTTCCTTTTTAAATATATTTCACTGGATTATACTATTTGAATAACATCTTCAAACCCTAATCTTTCCGATTGCTGTTCATACTTTTACTACCTCTACCACTACGGGATTTGAATCGCAAACAACATCTCTGTGCTAATGTGGTGTGGCAACTCGAACTGATATACATACATACGAATTTCTACGCTGTTACTGACCGACTGATATTTGTAATGTCAATTATGCTAAGCCCTAGTTTTCGGACATTCCATTCTATTCATTCTACTTGAGCCATACTTTGGCCTTGTTATTTATTCGCTTATCAATCTAGACTGTTTTTTATATGAGCGTATATGTGTGTGCCCTTCTTATCTCATTAATCACATGTCTGTAGCTTTATTTTGTCTGACTATAAATATTGAGTAATGCTTGACTAAGGGCGAATTGGCTTACCAACCATCTCCACCGTGCATCATTTTTACTTGGCTTCACCGTATGCTTGCTTGCTGTACACTTACGGATTTTTATTAATCATTGACAATAAATTATCTCTACCACTGGTGTTCAGGCTTCTAAATAATCTCGAGTAAATCCATAATTCTACTAGGAGATTAAGCCTACCTTAAATACTCAATTGACGGGATATTATTTATTGAAGTCAGATATTGAAGCCTTCAACATATTGGTGAACCGCCGTTTCAACATATTTTTGTTACATGAACACAAAATACCCTTGTATGATCTTGAATAGTTTGTTTCTTATGGAAATATTCATGTAATCCATATTATAGTATCTATGAAATGATGATTAATTCAATATCATTTTATAAAGAAAAGTAAACAATAAAACAAAAACAAAAATCATAAAAAGAATAATGATGCGAAACAGATTTTATTTATTTTTATCATTTTGAAAAGTTTTTTCAATATTCTGTTAATAGTAAAATGATAAATAAAGGGGGGGGGCAGAGGAGGAGAACGTAGCATATTAGCAACAACATGGTCTGAAAAAATACACATATATATATATCATAACTAATATTGTTTTACAAAGAAAAGTAATTCGAATAAGAACAAAACGATGACCGGATCTACAACACACACACACACACATACACAAAAGCGACTCACAATATAAAACACAGCAAAATAAATAATGTAACAATAGAATTAGCATAGATTTACCTACATACAATATGTAAAAGGTTACCTTTGCATGATCATGAGTAAATGACTATAGAATGTCACAAATACACACACACACATATACATGTTACATAATACATACATAAATATAGATAGAGATAGATACATACAAAGGAGTCTAGTCAAGAGACATTAAACATAATTCCCCTATAGAATGATATTGTTTTTTTAAAAAAAGATGGGCATTGAAAGAATCATTGTAAACATACAATAGGAGAATTGAATAAATTCAATAATTATCCATAGCATACAAAGCAAATATACTATATGACATGATAAAACTTAACAGAAATGTATATCATCCTTACAAATTCATATCCTACTACTACTACTACTACTACTACTCATTCATGTTTATTCAACTGATCCATATAGTTGATAAGGCGGGAAAGGAATACACAGATGGATAGTTTTAATTCACATTTCTATGTGTATATTGTGAACTGTTCAATGGGAATAAGTTTACACAGATAAACAACTATAGTTGCACACATTCACACATACAAACAAACAAACACAGAAGTCAAGAGTTCTGTTCTTTGTTTTAGAAAGGAAATATGTGATTGTAACGATCAAATGATTAAAAACCAAATCAACTAATAAAGACCGGGGTCAATGAAAAGAAAAACAAATAATAATAGTAATAATAATAATAAGAAACCTGACATATAATGAGATCATGTGCTGAATGAATCTATGATTACATTCTCATAATTACAAATTATATTATGAATAATAAATAAATAATCAGTTGTTAGATGAGCAAACTGATAAGAACAAAAAAAGGGGGGGGGGAGGAAGTGGAAACCAAACTTATGGAAGAACAATGATATAGTGAAAAATCAATTGTAACTAAGATATCACACACTCACACACACACACACTTTAAACACATCCATATACATGACAATAAGATAGTTAGCGAAAAGTGAATCAGTTAAAGAGAAAAAAGAAAGAAAAGAAAACAATATACATAAATACACATATATGATGATAATATTATACAGAAAACAACAACAACAACAAAGAAAAGAAAAAGAGAGAGAAAGAAAAATAAACAAATAAAATATCCTTGATCGATGTTTATTTGTTTAAAATAAAAATTAAAAAAAAAACTCTATTTGAAAGAAAGAACATGGTAAAACAAACAAACAAACAAGCAAACAAACAAACAACAAAATGAATATGGTTTTCTTTTGAATAACCTACAACACATTGACAATATTGGTTTTTCTATTTTATTTTTTTTTGTTTTTTATTTCGGTTAAAAGTATGAATGAATTACTCAATAGTTAATTTTTTTTAAAAGATAGAAATTATATTATTGATATGAAATAAATAATCATTTACTTAGTAACAATAATAAATATGAGATCAATAGTATCAAAAGAAGAAGCTTAAATGTAATGATGATATTGACAATAACAGCCATAGCAACAACAACAACAATAATAATAATAAGAAGAAGAAGGACAACGAAGTGGTAAATGTTGACATGGTTACATGAACTAAAACATTCATATAATCAATTAGAATATGTCAAGGGATAGAGGTAGAAAAGAGAGAGAGAGAGAGAGAGAGAGAGGGAGGGAGGAAGAGAGCAATCAACACAACTACATACATATACATAGTGTTATACATATGAATAGATTCAGTAAATATGAATTTAAGTTATATTAGTAGTATGTAAAATAAAATATTTCATAATAATATTGAATGCATTACGATTGCCTGAAATGCGTTTAAATCTTACACCATAATTAATTGGTTTAGCTAATTGAAATATTTCCATATCCCATATGATTAAATTAGTTTTATGTTTTAAATGAATGAGATAAGACAATTGAGGCTGTTGTTGTTGTCGTTGTTTTTGTTGCTGGGGATGTTGTTGTTGAGGTGATGTTGTTAGTGTACAATGTTCTAGTTGTTGGTCAACATCAACATCATCAATAGTGTTATTATTATTATTATGATTTGAACAAGGAGAGGATTGATGAGAAGAAGAAGAAGAAGGATTCATTAATTTTGTACAACGTATACGATATGAACTAAGAAATTCATAAGAACATTGATAACGTTTTATTAATTCAATGATCTGTATTAATAAAACATGTGGATCAGTTCCAATAATAGGGAGACGTAATACAAAATGTAAACGACGTGGTTTCCATAATTTTTGATTTTCATTCTTTCCATAATAAAAAGTATGATGATCATGTTGATGTTCATCAGATGATTTAAGTTGTGATGATGAGGTAGTTGTTTTCCAATTTATTATTCTCGTTGTAACTGTCAGTGGAGATGAGGTTGTTGTTGTTGTTGTTATTGATGAGGATGATGGTGATAATGATATTGTACATGATGGAGTTGTGATAGTTGAAGCTTTCAATTTATGCATGTCGGAAGTTATGACCACAGTTTTCGACGTTGGAGGGTCGAGGTAACACGGTTCGACTCCGGTCTTTTCTATAAAACAAACAATAAACAATTAATAAGATGAATGAAATGTAACTAAAACTGAAGATGGTAAGTTAATAAATAAAGATTATATATACACACGCATTAATTTCGTTTATCTTTATCAAAATATTACTGAAATAATTAAGGTAAGTGTGCAAAGTAGGTGAGGGGGGCGGGGATGGGTGGAATACAAAAAGCACCAAAAATAGATAACATGTAGTGAATGCAAAACAAAACAAAAAATTGTGCAGTAAATTTCCAATTAAAAATGACATCATTAACACGTTGTTACAAGAAACAAACAAACAAGCAAATATAAATTAGATACAAAACAAAACAAAGAACAACACAGTTTAAATGTAGTTAATTCTAAGTCAAATTATAAAGAGGAAAAAAAAGAAACAACAACGAGTGAATTCATTGAAAATTTTACTTGGTTCAATCTATGATAACTTACGAACAGAATCTATCATGAACTCAATAAGGCAGCACACACATACACACAATGCCCCCCCCCAATAGTAAACCCTCAACGATAGAACCCAAAAAGAAGTACAGCAGTATAGAAAATTTGATGTTTCACATAGAACAATTGAAATTAAACAACTCTGTATACGTGTATATATAGCAATAAAAACATGACCTTAGGAAAGAAAATCAGTGAACTAAAAGTGATAGTTACCAAGACAGAAAACAGCATGGTCATGTGAAAAAATATGCTTAAGGTTATCTTATTACAGAGGAAAAATTGACATTTAATAATAGGAAACAAATAACCTATCTTCTAGTTTTTTTTTTAAAAAAAAACCCAGATCGATGATATGGAAACTCTTCCAGGAATGCTTTATCTCACAAACTATAAGCCCAATCAAAAACTGGGGATATTGAATTTGAACGATGAGTATATCGAATGCACCACTACTGAAAGTGTCGGAAGAGAATAACGAAAAACCACACGTATGGGACGTTAATTTACCTTATATGGATATTTACACTAGATTCCCTCTCAGTGTGCCCCCAAATGCTCTAGTATGACCGAGAGTGGGGAGTTCGCTTTCCCTCTCGAAATGCTCTCACATAGTCACAAGTATATAGCCTCTGCCAGGAAAGTCCTACCGGCTACCATGGGACTGCATCTCCTTACGATGCTTCACTGCATTGGAGATCAGACCATTAGGTCGAAGGCTCCGGGTGTAGCCTTCTAAGAAAACCACCTGCTTCGGTTTGGACACCCAGACAGTATCACAGACCTCACACAAATCAAATGAGATTTGTGTGACGCATGTGTATCTAGTGCCCCCTCTTCCAGTGTCTATTCTACAAGACTTCAACACAACCCAAATGATCAAGAACACGTGATTAGCCTGACTAGAACGTAAATATATTTCCATACCAAAAACCCAACACAATCCAACAACAATCAATAATAAGTGAATAATAAGGATAAGGGGATATATAACTCATAACTAATACCTATCAGACTATCTACTAGTCTGACTAAGCGAATAATCAATCATTATCACATTCTTCATGAATGGTAATTTGAACTAAAATGATCTATAAGAAGTATATCAAAAGTTTCTATTACCAAAAACAAATCCATCAATCTCAATAAAAGTATCCTGTATATCAGAAATGAATAAACAGCATAGAATTATTTCAGATGAAATGGTATATACCATGATTATGTTGTATGTAGTTCTTAAAACTACAATTATATACATACAATGTATTCCAAGTTTTACAAAATGAATAAACAATACAATGACTAAAGACAACAACAACAACAACAACAAAAGGTTTATAGATTTTATAATTTCGAATAAATTAAGCATTAGATAGATTGTTATTTATTTATTTTAACACATAGATATTGGTACAACGAGGCACCAAATACATATGCGCCACACAAATCTCATTCGATCTATGTGTGAAGGCTGTGATACTACCCGGGTGCCCAAATCGAAGCAGGGTACGGATAGATTGTTATATATTTGTAGAAATCCCAATGATGAATAAGAAAATAAGTAGATTTTCTGACATTTCATAACTTAATGTAAGCCATTTCTATTCAAAGAAGAAGTTTCATTCAAAATATATAGTGTTGAAGAGTTGAACCATTATTTTTTCGATATTTTAATTCACACAAGTTCACTTCAATTAAATAATCATTTAAAAACAAATCAAGTAATGTGTATTTATATTGCATCAGTACAGAATTCATCAATACCGTAAACTGATAACTCTATAGCCCCCAAATGCCCCAGTATGTCCGAGAGTGGAGTGGGTCAGCCCTCCCTCTCGAAATTCTCTCACATGGCCACGCGTATATAGCCTCTGCCAGGGAAGTCCTACTCACTGCCTTCTCGTGGCGAAGGTGTTGTTTACGAAAATGAGAGGACGAAAAGCGAATACCCGGCGCTTTAACCGGACCCCAAATCAATGGTGCACATGGGCTCCAGTATCCTGCGGGAACAAATGGTATATGAACCAATCGTTGGTCACCGGCTACCATGAGAATGAATCTCCTCACGATGCTCCACTGCCTTGTGGATCAGACATTTAGGTCAAAGGCTCGGGGTGTGGCCTCCTAAGGAAACCACCTGCTTCTGTCTGTGCACCGGGCAGTATTACAGCCCCCCCACACACACACAAATATGTTGTGGCGCATATATATTTGGTGCCCTCTTGTACCAATATTTATGTGTTGAAATAAATAATAAATAAAGATAAATCTATTGACAAGTTTTAGATTACAGCAGCATTTGAGACATTATAGCGAGTATATGACTATTTGAATTAATGAGTTAACTATATTTGATTTGATTTATTTACTCATTGCGTTAACTGCTGACTCAGATTGATGAACATATCAAAGTGATATATATTCAATAGAACTGTTGAACATTTCAATTATGAAACCCTTAATAAGGCGGTCATAAATCTCTAATATTAAAGAACTTCATACTAGAAAAATATTTGTCTAGTAATCGTAATTATTTAACATTGAACCAGAGATAAAGTCAATCGATCATATGGACTATAAATCAGATCATTCCGATCAAGAATATGAGATAGATTTGGGATTAAGAAAAAAATTGTAATAATCATTTCAAGTGATATAATGATTAACATAGAGAATGAATAAATGTATTATTATTCAAATAAGTTTTGATTATTCACTATTCATACAAGATCTACTCGTTATTACGAATTAGAACTGTTGATAGCTGTAAGACAATAGTCAGTCCGTCAGTCATTCAGTAACAACGTAGAACTTCGTACGTACGTACATCAGTTCGAGTTGCCACACCAATAGACTATGTTCAAACAAGTGGGTAGGGTTAGTCAATGGATATGGAGAGTGTCAAAAAAACAAGAGCATTACTGTAACAATTAAAATTTATTATTCTTCAATAGAATAAATTATAAAACAGAAGATAAAAGGAAAGAAAAATATAATAATAAACATATTTATTATAATTTTCAGTAAGTCAGTCAGCTACAACGTAAGACCAGGCATATATAGGCATCGATCCAAGTTGTCATACTGCATTAGCTCAACAAGATGAACACCAAATTCATAGAAGTAGTCACTTCAATGATGGTAATGTATAAAAGAAAGATTGCATATAAAAATATAGTACAGGAAGAAAGAGTTAGTTCATAGAAACAAAAATATGAAGTAATTTTAATCTCATAGTTCAAGGGAAGACAGGAGGTGTATACACATTTCACACAGTCTACAACCATTGGTTATGATAGTCGAATGGACCCCAACCAAGAAGTCTGCATCTACCAACATGGCTCAGACTGGACGTTAGTGACTTGAAGCACTAGTGCCACGTTTTGGTTTGGCCGCCCCTGACTTTCTTCCAACCATCCCCAACACTAGTCAGCATTGAGCGTCATGGCAATCGGTGTTCAGGCATACGCAACACGTGATAAAGATTGACAACCTCATCAACTCATTTATCATCATTCCCTTTTACTCTTCGTCTAACCTCACTATTACTTACCCAGTGATCCCGGTAGATGTAAGCAATATTTCTAAGACATATGTGATCAAATACTAGTAGCTTACGAGTATCTACGCCTAATGGCCATGTTTCGCTGCCGTAAATTAAAACAGAACGAACTGACGCGCAGTATACTCATCCCTTAATTGATAGACGGATATCTCGCTTTCGTCATAGGTAATTTTGATGAAAATTGGAAAGTGGTAAAATGAGTTATAAGTTCGAAACACCCTAACTAACTCTATAAGGATTATTTTTATTTATTTTAACACATAGATATTGGTACAAGGAGGCACCAAATACATATGCGCCACACAACAACATCCTTAGTGAGTGTTAAACATTAAGAATCTACACAGCAAAACTATTGCATGCCAGAAATTGAGAATATGTTCAAGTTGAACATTATGTGTTTAGACAACATCAACAACCAAAAAACAACACACACAGATAAACACTAACAATAACTGTAGAATGTGTAAAGATGTTTGGAAGAGTAAGGAAAACAAATGAAAACATGTACGAATTACATATAAAAAGATAAACTATCACTATAATTACAACAAGAAACATACAAATGTATTCAGTCCTATGGATATATTATGAAATCTACATCAGATTTATGAATAAAACCAGTTTGCAATTAACAGTCTGCACTCATTGTACCTGATTATTGACATTATAATAGGTTCTGTGAATACTATAGTAATTTTAGTAGTTGAGATCATGAGTCAATTGAAGCTAGACTATCATGGAAGACCTTGAAGCACTGGATGGCCGTTTCCTTCTAGTATAGAACTCTTCAGCATCCATGATCATACCTCGCGTGATTCGAACCCAGGACCTATCGGTTTCGTGCACGAACACTTAACCACTAGACCAGTGAGCAAGCATCCAACGATATTATTGGCAGTTAGTGAGAGGAAAAGTTTTAAACATCTTTACAACTAGGATTAAAAATAACCTATATTGATCATATGATTACTTTGGAAAATATTTTTATTACATATTCTAAACAGTTTTTATATTGTTGAAATACGATCCAGTCAGCCAGTCAGTCGCTAAACAAATATATCATATACAAAATTGTACAATCTTTGAAATCTCGTCTAAATAGTTATGATAAAGAAGCAAAAACTAATCAAGTATAATCTAACATTAAGTTTCAGTGGTATTAAGTGAAATTAGATAAGGAGTGTTGTTTAACGTACCATATATCTAAGTTAATTAAGTTGATGCTTCAAAATCAATTTAATGATAGCCTCAACAATGCTAGAACATGACTAACTGAACCTCACTATTAGTTATACGTAGTTACTGTCGAACATGACTGTTTCCACAATGGAAAAGATGATCGAACCGAGAACGCTATTGAATGTTCTGTGAGTTTAAAAACAAGGTTTTCTAATTACATAGAAGTAATGCTAACATTTCCCGACTATCCTAACACGTATATAACGCATCTTTTTTACAGACAGCGTGATGCTACATTGCAATAGTCAGAAGTGAATCCTAGTACTAAGTTTCGTGGTAGATGGTAGTCGTTAGTAAGTCCTATATGAAATCTTGAGAGAACTGGTACTTCTCACAGGATTTGAACTCTCATTGGCAAGCTTCAGTTCCTTCAATATTGTACATACACCCTGCTGGAAATTTGCAACTACCAAGAAAAATGAGTCTAAGGATTTTACTGCCGATTGCTTTCAACTATCTAACAATGAAACTATTTGTTTGGTAGTAGACCAGTATAACAAAATAGAAGACTGACCAATCGAAATAAGAACACTTAGTATGTAAAAACTAAGAAAAAGGAATAGAGAAAAGAAGTAAAGTAAAACTTACTTTGATAACCACCACCACCGCCACAACCAGCGGCGATAGACTGATTATTAGCCGATGTGTTATTATTGGTAGGAAACTCAATTCCATGATGATACGGATAATAATGAAGAGGTTTAGGGTGTTGTTTTAATTTATTAGTATCTAATTCACTGGATAATGATCGTTTGCATTTTGATATCAAATCCTTACGTTGTTGTTTTCCAGGTTCCATAGTTATCCATGGATCTGGATTAATTGACACAAGACATTTCATCGTATCGTCATCATCATCACAATTCACTTCATCATTATCATGATGATGATGTTGTTGTTGTGTTGTAGATGGATGACTAGATGTTTTTGTTGTTGGTGATGATGATGTAGAATGGGTTAATGAAGAACAATGTAATCGATTAGATGAATTAAATTCTTCAGTTAATTCAGCTTCATTATTATTTGGTTTCAATAAACTCATTCTATGTGGTTTAAAGTTAGTGTTATTAGTATATTTATGATTGGATTTTTGTATACTAGAAATAATTCGATTATTATGATGATTTGTATGACTATGGTTACAAAAAGGTGAAAAAGAGGATACATGAATAAAACAAATAAAATATTGAATATTATAGGAGTCAGTGGAAAAAAACAAACAACAGTCACCCCCCTCCCTTAACAAACTTTAGTAAATGAAGTAGTTTAATGGAAATGTTTCTATTTCTAGGGATACATATTACAAAAGTTAACTAATGTGAATAGAAAAAAGTAGTTAGCAACTGAGAACTAAACAAAACAACCGTTTCATGTATTGTGAACGCTTCAAAACCTGATCATACTAAGTTCGATCACAAAATGAAATCTTCAATGTACACTACTGACTGAAGAGCAATGAACTAGGATGAAGTGATAGTCTATTAATATTCAGTTCCATAATAAACTGGTGATCTCTCAAGGGATATATCATAAACGATTAATCATAAGATGATTCGACAAAGTTTAGATACACTTATGAAGTTGACTAAATGTTTCAGTATTAAAAATACTCATCATTGTGTTATTGTAAGCTAACGAACACAATATCCTATTTTGGCTACATAAGTTAATCGCTTTACAATGAGATGACAGTGGTATGGATGCAACATTTTAAAGTGTAGCAAAGATACATTAAAATTAAATTCATATCGTTCAAGGTATAAAATGAGTAAAGTAAAAGTATTTATTCACATGAATAGACAACTAAATTTGAGAAGTATGCATAAGTTCAATACAAATAAACTTAATCAATCCTAATAGTTAAGCATAGATCGAATACATTTGGTTAATATTTTCACTCAGCAAAATATCAATTAATCAGATTGAGATTATGTTTATTCTCTCAAATATACCAACCAATTCAATGTATAATTAACTTTCTAATATATCCAAACAAAGTTAACTAAACAACATATTTATGCAACAGATAGATTCTCATGCCTCTCAAATCTCCTGGTACGACCTAGGGTAGGGAGAGTCACTTCTTCCTCTACAAATGCTCTCACATGGCCACGTGTATACAACCACTGTCAAAGAAGTCCTAATCATTATCCTGTTGTTTACGAAATTGACAACACGAAAAGAGAATGTCAGACAATTTAACCGGGTTGATGAACACAGGGAGTCTATCCAATGGAAGTTAGAAAACCTTGATTCCAAACTAAAGGTCTACATGTGTTCCAGTATCCTGACGGAACAAATGGCGTATAAATCCATTGTTGATCACTGGCTGCCATGGGACTGCATCTCCTAAAGTTACTCCACTGTCTCATGGATTAGACCTTTAGGTTGAAGACTTAAGGTGTGACCCTCCAAGAAAACCACCTGCTTCATTTTGGGCACTCGGGTAGTACAACATTCCTCAGACAATCCAAGTGACTTGTGTGGCATATATATATACATTCGGTGCCCCATTTTACCAGTATTTATGTGTTCAAAAAATAAATACATAAAAACTAACGCTAGTCATCCATAGGAGATGAATTAATAAGAATGATAACAGTATCCTAAACATTTTAGATGTGAACAACAGAATTATACTAATATATATATATATACAAGCAATTAGTAAACCAACATTTGAACTAGTCGAAAAAAGTATAAACAGTTTGAAAGCAATGTCAAATTAGAATGAAAAAAAACTCATTGAAACTTGAATACATGAATAGATACTTCTAATAGATTTCAAACTACTTTAAATAAATAGTAGTACTTATAATTGAATAAACATTTTTTTTTATTGTTTACAACATGAATATAAAAGAACAACTAAAGTTAAGTGCTTAATTAGTTTATAGATTAATTCAAAACACAATGTGGCAAGACTATAATTTATAAATGAATCAAACAGAGTTACAAGAATAAGTCTTTGATTTACGACACGAAATTCATTCATTCATTTGACCAAATAGCATCTTGGCATTTTAACTGATATTACTTTGTGATGAGAACTTTAAATCTAATTCTTAACTCTAACTATCAACTATGAATCATAATCTTTACTCTTCAAACTGTTTTATAATCCTTATTTAGCCCTAGTAAGTATGTGGACACTCTCAAGGTCACTTTGGCGTCGTACAAAGGTCATCCATAAATTATAGTTTCACCTATGCATATGAATGCGTAATAATCAAGTACAGAAATTTCAATAGTTGAAACCATGAGTCAATTGAAGCTAGACCACCATGGAAAACCTAAGAGCACTAGACGGCCGTTTCGCCCCACTGTGGGACTCCTCAGCGGTGCGCATCCACGATCCCGCTCCCCGGGAGATTCGAGCCCAGAACCTATTGGTCTCACGCGCGAGCACTTAACCACTAAGCTGGCATCCAACGGTGGATGTGCAGTGCTGAGGAGCCCCACAATAGGACGAAACGGCCGTCTTGTGATTCAAGGTTTTTCATGGCGGTCTAGTTTCAATTGACTCATGTTCTGAGCCATTGAAATCAATAATCTATTGTATAACGACTCAATATGATCAGAATAAAAATCAATTAAATAAATTGAGATCAATAAGATTATTTAAGAAGTAAGTATAAAAAGACGAGAAAAGAGGGGATTGAAAATTATAGAAGAGGTTATTTGATAAAAAAAAATTTGATAGCAGGTCTTCTTCCAATGTCTAATCCATGTTGATAGATGTAGAGTAATCGGATGAAGAATGTATGATTATCGTAGTCAAATGGTTGAAAACGTTCGCTGAGATGATTCAGAATAAGTTGCACTGCAATACATATGAATTCACTACTCACTATTCACCTGATCATCAGTCTCGTACTTATTTCATATCTTTTATCCTTTGTACTCATGATTTTTCATTGTCAGTGATATTACTAATTTGATATTCACCTGTGTTCAATGTGATGGGTCAATTTAGAACAATGAACATTTGACAATGGAATTCATCGATAGTAACAGTATATCTATAAATTAAGATTAACTGAGTTTAAACAAGTGTATTTGATATGTGACAAGTTTAAGTCGATTTTGTGCTAGTTAGCCGAATGTATGTTGATGTTCACATTAGTTGAAAATTTTAGTGGTTCACTGAACTTAGTAAGTCAGTGAGTGACAAATAGGACAATTAAGCAAAACCGATTCGAATCTCTGCATGAACAACAACACTGCAATGTAAGTAATGTTTAGCTGAAGAGTCCTGAATAGGACAAAAAAAATTACATCCTAAATTCAATTATAATCTACAGATCAAATATAACAAAATTTGTGACTATAAACTAGATAAAGATAATCTGCGCTCAATGTATAACATACAACAATGGAAGCTTAAAGTAGTGAATATAAACAATAAGAAATCATGAAACCACATTCATTCAATATTTCTAGTATTCAGTAGAAATATTGAGTTTAGAAAAAAGCACAAAAGAGAATCAAGGGTAATACAATAATCCTGTGATAATAATCAACCAATCAATCAATTCATTCATTCATTTGTATCTTTAATAAATATACAAGTAAAAACAATGATCATGTTACTTTGCTCATTTCAATGTCAACATTAATAAAACAATATTGAATGTTGATTTTACCAATAAAAGTATATTAAAATGATAGCAGATATTTAGTTTTCTATCACATGAATAATGTTTAGTAGGGTTTAGACATTCTACTGTTAATTCGTAGGTTGTAGGTGTTAGGACTAGAGAAACATAATAGATGGTAACTTTTGGGATCTATTGATGGACCAATACTAAACGTATATTTCTATTGTATAATTATTAAGTAACTAAACTATGCATATTCATATTCTACTTATTATAAGCTTTATTTTGACCCTTAAACTATTATTATACATTTGACCATCCTTGAATTAGGCCATGTCTATAAATCACTACCTAACACATTCACAACCACATCTAACTAATTCTTGTACAAATGTTGTTTCATATTTTATTGGTTCGTTGTGGTCTGTTTGATTGGTATACAAACTCAGTATGTTTGAAATATAATGATTCATATCGCAGAGGCTGAGACTTATGTTTTGAACTTAACTGGCTGGGCTAGACAGGAAGCAGGATCAATCGGGACTCTAGGCTGCTCGCACGTGTTTTACGCGTCATTGATCCGATTGATAAGTCACTGCTCTCTAATAGGTGGTCACAAGTTATAACACTAGGTTCATGAGTTGGGTTCAAGTTCGGTAGAGAAGACCTCAAACAATCAACTACACAAATTTCTCTATTCAGTAAATGAGTTACTTTTAAAGAAACAATAGATAGTACTTATAGAAAATAAAACAGTAGTAAATTGAAGAAAATATAGTTTTATTTCTTAATAATTTCTTCGCTTTTCGCAAAAAACCATTTATAGCCTTGCATTATATCACTAAAAACATTTAAAATTATTATTAGAAGGGGTTATTTGCTGATGTTTCTACAGTAATTTTTAACAATTGAGATCATAAGTCCATTGAAGCGAGATCATCACAAAAAAACTGGAAACACTTGAAAGGTTGTTTCGTCCTATTGTGAGACTACTGAAGAGTCCTCATTAAATTTCTACTAGTTTGATTACTTTTTCAATCCTTAGTCATAGATTATGCTTGTTAAAATGAATCAAATAAACAATCTTAGAAATGAATAGAAATAAAGTGCCGACTTCGAATACAAAACCAAACTAAATTATGTTGTTTAACAGAATGAAAAGCCAACAACAAAACAATTTTAATCATCTCATGATTTAGCACGATTTGATGATAGGCAATTTACTGACTAGACATAAACTGATCATTATGTAAACGAAATAAATAATAAGTGTCTAATTAGACAGTAAATATATATTAATGTCAGAAGGGGTTTTGTGGAGATCTTAGTAATTTCAATACTTTAAGTCATGAGTCAATTAGACATAGACCACCAAGGGAAACCTGGGAGAGGATGGATCGTAGGTGCGCATTACCACTCAGGAGTCCCATACGAAGACGAAACGGCCGTCTAGTGCTTCCAGGTTTTCCATAGTGGTCTAGCTTCGATTGACTCATGATTTCAACTATTGATTAGCAGTGGAATCTAGAATGAGCGTTTCATCCTATTTAGGATTGGTTCAGTTCGATGTACCTGCATCCTAATGTTGATATTCGCGCTTTCTGGATTCCACTGCAAGCCACTACTCATCTTTGCTTAGAATGCTTATGAATTAAGGCAATACGCACACGATGCACAAATGCCAATAATAGACCAATCAATTACTGTCCTAAGTAACAATGAGAAAATTCAAATAAACAATAAATAATGTTTGTACAAGTTTCTGAAACACTCAATCGACAATAATTTTTCATTGTGATTCAAAAACTACACGTTAGCACATCGAGAGTACATAAGAACTCTCCAATCTTCAAGGTTCTTTCTCCAAATATTGACTAGTATCTAACTATCTATTTATTGATCTCTATGCATCAGTGGTTTTTTTTCTTAAATGAATGGAGTTGACTCGCATGTCTTTCTGTATACCTATTTATCGATCAATTCATGAATCAGTTGTGAGTAGCAAAAACAAAAGTTGTAGCAGTGACAGAGTGGAAAATTTAGTTCTTCTTACATCAACAACAAAAAAAAACACATGCTCACAAACAAAACTCATAACCTGTAAATGAAACAGGATTACTGCATAGAGATTATACGAATTTATGTTAAGAAAAAAAAGTTAGCTGTTAAGCGAAAGAACAAGATTTTGTGCGTTATTATTATTGTTACTGTTATAATGAGGCATAAAAGTGATTAAACGAGGATTAACAAACGTGATGTTCTTTTTTTTTAGAAAAAATATCCAACATCAACACCAAGGAGCTACAATGAATAATACGGTCTTTGGAATAAGTATTATTCAAGCATATCATCCAACCAACAAGACTATAAACCTTGTTTTATATCACCAATCAAATCATATTACTGCGTATCAACTTTAGATTATCGTAAACAGATACACTCAAACACACCCGACTGTGGTTGCTACTTTGACGTGCTGGTCGGTCTCACGCATCGTCATGAACCAACCGAGCTATACTGGCTGGAACAATCGTTCCTCAAGGTCCTACCATGTCAGACAGGTCAGTTGAAGAGCAGTAAGACTAAAAACAGCAAACCCAAAGTCCGAGGGCGAAGTCGTACTGCTGACTGTACAGAGGTGTGACGGCAGCTAGGTGTTTCCTTCAGACAACCAGCATAACAGCGATGGTACCTTCCCACGAGGAAGGGTGGGGTTAGAAAAGGTGGACCCAAAAATGCACACCTCACCTTATCTCACAAATATCAGTCTCCGGTGGTAAGGTCTCAACAAGTACGGAGCTAACAAGAAAATTACCCATAAAAAGGTCGTGTGTTACTGACCACAAGCAGTTGTCCCTTAGGTACTTCGGTCACACTCCCAAGTCACAAAGACCACCTCTAACACAAGTTCCTTTTCAGGTACTTCCAGAAGAACCCTTCCACGGTGTGGGCAACCGGGAAGTGATAACCGCCCTCATACCTTTAACAGCACTCAAGACCACTGTATTCATAATCAACCTCCCTCTTCACTGATGATCAAAGTACATAATTAAATGCATAACTTACACATTGGATGACTATAATCTTTTTTTTTTCAAATCAATGAGTTGCTACATACTATGCAACTATCAGATTCGATGCATCAAACATTCTTAAACTGTGTTTTACCAATTACACCCCACAACATTCAATACACATCCCAGAACACATAAACATAATCTCAGTTGAAATATTACCCATTTAAAATAACAAAAATAGGAATTCATTTTGAAGGAATGAAAGGAATAATGTTAGTGTAGCATAAATAAACTAGTAGAATATACAAATCAATGTTTTGAGTTAATTGTTATACTGAATTAACACACATTTAACAATATTACTAACATGTAGTAATAGTAGTAATGGTATTCATATTACTATGTAAAAAAATCTTTATTCACAAATGATGATGAATTTATTTACAAATTATAAACAAGTACAATTCTTCTTGTCCTTCCTGTGAAAACAGAAAAAAAAATCCATAAGAAAATAAGGTAGTGAAATCAGAATCGAATCACAAAGACAGATAGATAGAGAGAGCGAGTGAGTGAGTAAGAAGGAAAGAGAAGAAAACCACTGAGAGAATAGTGAACAAGCATATATGTTAAGAAAATGAAACAAAATCACAGCAAACAAAAGTAGCATTGTGAAGTAACAAATACAAGTGTAGCTAGCTAGCTATATTAAGTGTGTAGAAAAAAAGTAGCCAGAAATTTGAGTTAAGCATAGTTACAATAGTTACTTAGAGCTCAAATAATTAGCGCATAAGTATGCACGAAAACACACACACACATACATACATACATTCCTGCTTGGTTATATCAAACATAGCTATCGCATATAAGTGCATTTTGTAAAGGTGTAATATGAGAGATATATACATTGACATACATACACACACACACATACACACACAAATAATTTCACTCCAACTCACCCTGACTTAAAACGACCACATCGAAAACTTGATGTATAGATCAAAAAGAAATTATTCATGATAATGATCACCTTTTTTCACATTTCATAATATAGAATAATCATTAAATTTATTATATAGCAGTGTATTTCTGATGATGTAATAGAAGATCAATCAATTTTTGATAGACAATTCTCAGTAGAACACGACTATTAAAACAATTCGTTTGGACAAATGGAAGCAAACAGAGCAATGAGATAGAAAGTAAAATGGTTTAAATCACTAAATCCTTTGTATACTTCATCACTGTAGTCATATTCAGTATAAGAAGTTTATGTCCCGATAAACATAATGAATGGTAACTTTTGGGATCCATTTATGGATCAATATTATACCATATTTTTATCGTATAATTGTTAAATAACTAAACTATTCATATTCATGTCCCTCTTATTATGAGCTTGCTTTTGACCTATGAAGTGTTATTATAAGATTTACCATTCTTGAATTATACCTTGTCTATCACTTACTCTCCCTCATTCACAGCCACATTTGACTGAAACTTGTAAAAATGTTGTTTCTTATTTTATGGCACAATGTGGTCTATTTGGTTGATATATAAACCCAGTATGTTTGAAATCAATGATTCATATGGCAGAGGCTGAGATTTGTGTTCTGGATGTAACAGGCTGAGCTAGGCAGGAAGCAGAACTCTAAACTCCTAGCACGGGTTTTATGCGTCATTGGCCCGATCGATAATTCATTGCTCTCTAATTGGCGGTATCGTTTCGATATATATCAACAGGGCATACAGACCACAAGTTATAACAAATAGCCACATGTATATGGAGATGGAAGGAGCATATATAAATAAACTGAAATTGTGTACTAAGCAGAGATGGATGGTGGATAGTAATAAAATTCAGGTTACGCGTTTCACTCTATCTGGGACCTATCAGCCAGATGTACATGCATCCCAGAGTTGGTGGTCGACCAGGGACTCGAACACAGTACCGTTCGCTTCAAACGTCGTCACGTTGTCCACTTAGCTACTGAGTCCAGATAGCCCTGGCTTGTGCAATGGCGTGAATTTTAATTCATACATAAAGGTTATTTGAATCTTCTCACTGGTGTTTAGAACTGCAGTTGATAAGCCACCATCCATCTTTGCTTAAAATGCTTGTAGCTTGATGGTTATATCGAGGTAATTTGTACATAATGCACATATGTCAAAGGAAACTGACCAATCGCAGTCCTAAACATCAATCGGAAGATCAAAACAATCAACATATACGAATTGTGTACTTAATTCAACAAAATATAACGTTGAGAGGAAAACATTCAGATTGTTATTTGTAGTAGATTTTGTGAACGATAGCGCAAATTCTTGAACACTAAATTACTATTTATTCGTTTATCAACCAATCTAGTCAGTTTGAAGTCCTAAATGAACTAATTGAAGTGTCTGCCGTAAACTCCGCATAATTTATGTGTTATAAATTATCGCAGGCAATTAAAAGATTACTTAATAAACAGTTAATTTGTAAATTATGATAATGCAACTAATTTCTTAGCTTTGAATTTGTTGTAAGCGAACTATTAGTAGTACAAGTATTCTACAAGGGAGCAGACCTTAAGCTACCCACATCCACCATGTAGTGTAATGCAGACTACGTATAGAAGTAAGTTAGAAGAATTTTGGGGGCGGTTAGACCAAGACGTAGTATTAGTCCATGAAGTTGCTAGCAATGCGACTGGGTCATGTCAATAGGTGTAAACTACCACGAAGATTATCGTAGCCGATATTTAGAGAATGGATGATATAGCTCAGAATCACATGCCATGTCCAATGTGCATTCACTCTTTATTTTCTATTATGACGTGTGTACAGAATTCTCATTAAACGTTTTAATACTTGATCTTATTTTTCTACTACTGACACAATTACTACTTATATACTACTACTCTAGGATTTGTCTTGCTAATATGAAATGGCAAATTGAACTGATCGACATAAATGTCAGGTTCGACGCTGTGCATGTCTGAGTAAGTACATATACTTTTTATTCGAAAAGAAAAAAGATTTATACATTTTAAAGAAAATTTATGATATTGCAACTAACTTTTACAGAGCTAATCAAATACGCGTCAGATTACATAAGAAAATTAACTAGTTAATGAAATCTACTATTTCACTACTCATAAGTAGCTTATTACGTTCAATATAAGTAATTCGGCCTAATCAACGTATGGCTTTTTGTATAATTCTTAAATGCAAAAACCAATTAGCAGAATAAAAGGAGTAAATGTCTAACAAGTGAAGTGGGGCTCAAATCACTAGTTGATGGATTTTATACAAAGAATAAACACGAAGTTGCAAAGCAAAAAGAAAACATGTTACATAAATGAAAATCATAGTGCATTGTATTAATTGCAAAGATTGATAGTGGCTAGCAGTGGAATCCAGGATGAGCGTTTTGTCCTGTTTGGGACTCGTCAGATGAATGTGCTTGCATCTCAGAGTTGAAGTCCACTTCGAGACTCGAAGTCAGTATCGTTCGCTTTAAACGCCATCAAGTTATCCACTTAGCTACTGAGTCCACCTTTGCATATAATGCATGCGAATTAAGGCTATACCGATGCAATACGCACAATATGCCAATAACAGACTGATCAACTGCAATCCTAAACATCAATGGGAAGATTCAAACAAACAATACCAGGTGAATCATTGTGTTAACTGTTGACAGTAGTCTATTAGTTAAAACACCTTAGGAAATATGACTTGACACGTGCTAACTTGAACAGATGAATATCTATAACAAATACCATGTTAATTGAAGATGCAATCGTAATACAATATGACTAACAATATCTTGATTAACATATAGGATTAAATTATGGGGTGTATTTATGCTTAATCGATGATAGAGCCAAATAGCCCCCAAATGCCCTGGTACGGCTGAGAGTGAGGAGAGTATGCTCTCCCTCTCGAAATGCTCTCACATGGCCACGCGTAAATAACATGCTAACAAAGTTATTTTAGCCACCTTGCAAAATGAAATAAGGATACACAAAAGAACCCAACCAATAGTGATCAGATCAATGCTAAACATGATCGAAATCAAAAGCACGTTTATGGAAAAAAAAACAATATAAAAATACTGAATTAATTACCTTCGAGCTATCCTTAATGTTAGACTACGGAAGAATCGTCCTGGTCGAGAATGACTAGATGATCCATTTTTTGAAACTGTAGTTGACGGAGTTTCTAAAGTCATTGAAGAGTCTGAATAATTCTTTAATTCCGTGGAACAATTGATATTTTGATTTGGATCCACATTTTTCTTGCTTGTTGTCACCTGTTTCGACTCAGCAATAGATGGAATATTGTTAGTTGTAGTCATCATAGTATTGTTTGGTCGATGACGTACTGACCATTTAATAATTGAATCTCTTTTTAACGATGCCGTTGTTGTAGGTAATTTAAAACCGTGTGATTTTGAATCAGATCTTTTTCTATCATTATTAATCGTCTTCTCATCTGTGTTCAATGTATCAAGTGCCTTGAAAATGGAATCAGGCAATGCAATTCGACCACTAGGTGATGAAGATTGTTTATTATTTTGTTGTTGTTGTTGTTGTGTAATTTTCGAAGAATTCATTGTACCCGATGAAGATGTTGGATCCATTGTTGAAGAATGACTATCGGTGAAAGTGAATGATTCAGGTATTTTCGTATTCAAATTATTATTCTTCTGATGATCATCAGATTGATTTGTTGATAATCTTTTCGATTTTTTAGTTTTATTAATATTAAATAAAGAATAAGGAATACTTGGACGATTTACATCACTTTGTTGATGTTTTTGTCGATCATTCGTATGTAAAATATCAATGATAGAATTAGTATCATTCGAAGGAACTTTACTACTACTATTAATAGTATTATTATTATTGGTAGTAATGGGTAAAGTTGTTGTTTTAGGCTTGGAATGAATTGAAGTATCTTTATGCTTTTTTCGATACGGAAGTGTTCTACAATTGTAAGTAACAAAGAAAAAGAAATCAATTAAATTGAAAGGAATAAGAGGGGGGGAGAGAGGGGTGAATTCATTAACTGACAATGATGAAGTGTAAGATGTTATTGTTATATAATACACGTTATGGTGGAATGAAAAAAAAGAAGAAGAAACTACATAAAATGTAATAGAAGTATTTAACTATCATGTTAGTTGCTTATTACTTCATACACACATTTAAATGGTTACGCATTGAATGCTCTGGTTAATTGTGTTGATTTCCATATCTTTTTAAACAATATGCTCAATTATTGTTATTTGCAAAGATGATTCAGTTTAGTTCAACTTAGCTAAGAGTTAATTAATAAATGTTCTTTACCATTCAGAGGAAAAAATTCGGCGAGACTCTAATTTATGGACGAGCCAATCAGAGGCGTTTTAGAGATTTCAAGGTTACGGCGTTAACTTCAGTGCTTAATGCTAACGTACGATCGGTTCACAGGAAATTTTTTTCATCTATTTGGCTAAATAAATTTCTGGCATTATAATTGATGTCAGTTCGTGATGAAAACCCCATAAATAATTTCTAACTAAGGCAAATTATGACAATTATCGCGAACCGGATAATAAAAGCACCAGTAACACTGGCTGCAGCCAGGTACTACAATAAATACGGATGTTTGGAGAGAGTAAAGACTCCTGCATAGGTTTGGTTGTATGCATCGTGTCGTTATCCACAAGTAGCATTTTGTGCACTCAACAACCAGAGTGCACACAAACAATATTGAAGCTATGTGGTCGAGGCTGAAAGAGTTTTTGAGACTTTATCATGGCTCCAAAGGCCGACTATTCTGTATGATTTCCTTTACTGCATGTATTACGATTTAAGAACCTCTTTCTAAACTTGACAAGTTTTTGAACCATGTAAAAGAAGTCTATCCACTTTATTTCCACGGTTTTGTATAATAGATTTTTACTCCATACTCTAGATTCGTTCAAAGGTCGTTTATAAATTATAGTCTCGCAAAAAATTCCACTGAACCATCATTTACTGATACAGTCAGTCAGAAAAAGAAAACACTTCAAACAATTAACTCTCGAGAAAGAACATGTCAGTTATTTCAAATCATACAGTTTTGATTCCTTTGGGATATTATTATGTGCTAAACAAATAAAGCAAACTGTTTCATAATAAAAATGCAATGTCTGTAAAACATACGCCATTTAATAGGAAAGATATCATAAGAATTATATTCAGTGGTTGTTAGTGGTAACTTCTTTCAAGGTGATAGATCTACTTAATTTGCGAAAATAAAGAAGTTTAAGAGAGCGGAGAAAAAAAAAAAGATTTTTATCCACTGACGAAATGATTTACACAAGGGTTATGAAACATGAGAAAGAAATTCAATTCTACTATTGAAAGATGAGATAATTATAGACACTTCAATATACATAAGGGAATGATCATATGAAATCTTGACAAGTTATGAATTACATTGATGAAACAATATTATTGATGAATTTGTCGACTATATTATGGAATTATTCTAATTTGTTTTAGTTCGTACGTAAATTATATGCAACATACTATTCACCGTTTTCATCCATTAAGTTGCAGATTCGAACTCCAGTACTATCTTAGTAGTATCTTGAATCTGCAAAGACACTGTTTGCTCCTAGATATCGTGGTACAATAATAAGTAAGGAGAACATTTTCCTTATAACAGTCACGTAATTATACGTTCAGACTAACTGATTGAGATGTAAAGGGAACATTCGACACTAAAAGCCGATTGGTGAATATAGAGAAAAAAAACTGGAAAACACTGATTCCAAATCAATGCCGTATGTGAACTCCAAATTTTCTGAGAAAATGTATGGTATATGAGCCTATTTTAGATGCTGGCTAATATCGCACTGATTCTCCTGTCGATACTTCACCAGCTTGTAAATTCAAACAACTAGGTCAAAGGAATGAGAAATCTCATCCTAAGAAGACTATCTGCTTAAGCTTAAGTGTTCAGCAAGTATCTTAGCCTATAGTCACAAATAAAGAAAATACCCTATTCGTCAAGTTTCATTATTTGTTTAAGAACTATTTAAAACAATGCAAAATTTGGATTAAATTTGTAGCAGAATAATGCTGTACTTATTTGTAATTAGAAGTAGTATTGTTAATGAGGACAGGAAGGTGTACACGTGATAAATACTAGTCTGAAAAGAAAGAAAAATAATGCGACTACATATACACAGTATGTTGAATTATTTAATGAGATTTATCGATTTGAACATAAATAATAATAAGTAACAAAACAATATAATCTTCATTTCACAGTTATCTTAAAGGGCATCCAAATGCCATGGGGTACGGCCGAGAGTGTGGGGGGTCAGCGCGTCCTCTCACATAGCCACGTGCATGCAACCAATGTCAGGGAAGTCCTACACACTGAGTTCTCACGGCATTTCTGTTGTTTACGAAATTGACAACACAAAAAGTGAATATCCGGTGCTTTAACCGGGCTGGTAGATATGGAGAATTCATCCAAATGAGTTTGAAAACGCTAATTCCAAACCAATGATGCACATGGGTTGGCTCCAGGATCCTGAAAAAACAAATGGAGTGTGAACCTATTGTTGGTCACCGGCTACCATGGAACTGCATCTCCTGACGTTGCTGCACTGTCTTGCGGATTAGACTTTTAAATCAAAGGCTCGGGAAGTGGCTTTCGAAGGAAACTACCTACTTCGGTTTGGGTACCCGGGAAGTATCCCAGCCCTCTCACACAAATCGAATGATTTATGTGGTGTTTATCTGTTTGGTGCCTCGTTGTACCAATTTTTATGTGTTTGAATAAATAAATGAATAATATCTCAAAAAAGAATTGAAATATTGGAAGAATAGTTCTAATTACTATTGATAGGGTATTAAGTTTCCAAAGATTATTACTCTTATTTTAAGCTTTATTCTGTTCTCATACGTCTTAACACTTCAGTAAAAGTGTCATCAGTTACATATTTACTTATAAGAGTGACAAAATGATTTAAGCTGTCGATTACATACAATCAGAAAATCTTGGTTATAATATAAGAAGGAAGGTGTATAGAACATTTCAGTTTCCAGTTCAATAGTTGACTAATACAAATCAACAGTTATTTCTATGCAGTCCCATGGGAGCCGGTGACCAACAATAGGTTCACACACCATCTGTTCCTTCAGAATCCCGGAGCCCATGTGCACCAGTGGTTTGAAATCAAGGTTTTCTAACTCCCCTAAATGAACCCTCCATATTCACCAACCCAGTTAAAGAACCGGACATTCGCTTTTTGTTCTCTCAATTCCGTAAACAACACCCCCGTCACGAGCACATAGTGAGTAGAACTTCCCTGGCAGTAGCTATGTGAGAGCATTTTTCAAAAGGCAAAGCTGACTCTCCCCACTCTGGACCCTACCAGAGCATTCAAATAAATTACAGATCATTTCTTTTTAAAACGAATGAATACACATTGGAGATGTTATTCATGAACACAGATAACACAAAAGAAGAATTGATTACAGTAAGAAAAAAAACATACATATATGAAATAAATTCCTTAATATATAACAAGTAGATGATGGAGAAGATTTGTAGATCAAGTGAATGATTTTGATAGAGTTTCACTTCTCTGAACTGAATGGTTCAGTTATGGATCTTTCATCATTCTTCTGAACAATATTACCAGCATAAATTTGAAATTTTTACTGAATGATGAAAGTTCCACGATCAAACCATTCAGTTCAAAGAACCGAAACTTCATCAAAAAACAATAACAAGTACTTTATTGATTCTACTAATTAATCATTGAAAAAAAGGTTATCACATATTTCAGCTGATCTGAGCATATACATATATGGTGAATGTTGCAGGTACAAAATTAACCAATCAAATTAACTCGGTTGTTGTTACCATGTCTATTACCATATTGATCGATCATAAAGTGCATATAATAGTGAATGGAACATCTATGATAAACTATAAAAAGAAAACTACCAATAAAAAACAACTTGAAAATGAAGACGTTTATTTGAAAGAAGAAAAAAAAGATGATTTACCCAGTAAATGATCATAACTTCTTTATCTATTAATCTCTATGTAACAATCTTGGATGAACTAATCAGGTATAAAGATAATAGGTCATGGATTTTGGTCATGAAATTTATTTAGTTCAATAGAGTTTTAGCATTATAGCTAATTGTTAATTCATATTGAAAACTTTAAATGTAATTTCTAACTTGAACCATCAATTGTATAGCATAATTCTTATTCTACACACTAGTTTATAATCCTTATTTAGTCCCAATTAGTAAGTGGACACTCACAAGATCACATTAACATCACTCAAGGATCGTCTATAAATTATCATCTCATCATATTTCAGTGGTATGTTGACATTTGAAGTTGATTGAAAGAAAAAAAAATACAGAAACAAAGACAAGTGGAAATTGGATTGTACCGAAATTAAACTACAACATATGATATGGGAACAGAGTATACGAAAAATGAAATATTCATTTAAACAGTTGAGATCATGAGTCAATTGAAGCTAGACTACCATGGAAAACCTGGAAGCATTGGACGGACGTTTCGTCCTAGTATGAGACTTCTCAGCAGTGTGCATCCACGATCCTTCACCCCAGGACCTATCAATCTCGCGCCAGGCGCTTAACCAACTAGACCACTGAGCCGGCATCCGACGGTGTTAATGTCTAACATGGAACCGATCAATTAGTTAGAATAAATAGAATCTAAATGTTCATATCTGAGATATCAATGATAATAGTTAAAGTAACAAGTAGTTGTGCAATGAAAAAAAATCCAGGACACACACACACAAAAAGTACAAGAAAAGCACGAACATCTATAGTGCATTAGTTCAAAGGTGCACATCAAATAGTCATAATTACATGAATACACATAGACACAAATATACATGAATCTAGGATAATTATAAAAGTACACAAATATATATTATATATATATATATATATATATGAGGAAACACAAAGATTTGTCAATCCCATTTCCTCTATCTCTCTTTATCCTTTAACCATAATGCTTAGTTGAAATGTGCTTCGGAAGAGAATTATGATAGACAAAATAATCTACTGATGAACTATCAGTTGTTATTTAGTAGATATTTCATAATATTCTTATGGAAAGTTAGATTATGAAGAGCAATTCATTTAGTTAATAATTCAACTAAACTTATATATATTATGTCTGATAGATTAGTACTTTAAATGGTCGTAACAATTGTTCAACTTTTTTTTATTGATTGAGATAATAAACCGATTGATGTTTCACCACCATTGAAAACCTGGAAACATTGGACGGCTAGTTCGTTCTATTGTGCGACTCATCAGCAGTGGCATCCAAGATACCGCCCGCGGGATCTGAACTCAGGACATTCAGTCTCGCGCACGAACACAACCTACTAGACCACTAAGTGGGCATCCAACGGTGTTAATGTCTAACTTCAACCAATCCACGAAATTGCGCAACCATCTTCCATTGTACTGAAGAGGATACCTGTCACTATGCGACACGGATTAGCTCCACTAGTCACGACTGCTCATTAGAACTCCGATTATCATTGTATTATGGTGATTATGGTTGGATTAAGGAGAAGTGATTAGTTTGTGCGGTTAGAATTACAGCCTCATGTAAATAAAGTCAACTGAAGAAGATGTACAATAATGTTAAGATATGATTTATGCAAAAATTAATATTAATTATTGATAAATGAACTATGAAATTGAAAAACGCACGATAAATGTTTAAATGCCTGAACTTCTTCGAAATGAACAACATCTGAAGTCGATCGATGTGAACGTCAGGTGTTTATATTGTGATGACTCAATCAAATTAAAGTGGATGGATGGAACATGTCAATTAATCAAATGAAAAATGGAACCTGGAAGGCGTGTATTTCGGTTTAAGTTGCCGTAGCTCATAAGTGCAAAGAGATGAAAGTTTTAGAACGAATCCCAAGGTAATAGAGGTAGTAAGAGTATTAAAGGTAACAGATAATTATAAGCAACGAAGTTATGATTGGATGGAACACATATTCTTATAGGTCCCCACCAAACCAGGTGGGTTGTAATGATAGCGGTAACATTATAAGATAATGAACGGGTAAGGAAACGCCGGTTCCATCGGATGAACTTTCGTCGCTGGCAGATGACCGACGTACGGAGGTATTACATCTAAAACTGTACACAAAAAGCGTGAGATCTCAAATAGTTGTCTCTTGAGCTCTAAAACGACGCTTTTACGTTGACAAGATCATTATCAATCTGATTTATTATTTATATATTTCGAGGGAAAATATTTTCCTATAGTGTACACAACCAGAAACTGACAACCGTACACATACCTCTAACATTTAACGTTAACAAGAGCAATATTTTTTTGGGGGGGGAAACAGTGCAAAAAGACACGGGTAAGCACACACACACACACAAAACCAGCACGAAAATCTATGTTAATAGCCATTACGGAAAAAAATAACAGAAACAATGACATCAGTTTGTTTTTTCTTGTGTGCCTCTTCCAATTAACGAATTGATTACCTCACACTTTGGACCAAGGGAGGCAGAATTTTACCCAGTAAAAATAAAAAAGCGTAAAATAAAATGTATGTGAAGTAAGCAAAAAAAAAACACAATTAGGTTGCACTACCTTCGTAACCATCCGATGAAGCTGTTGAAAAAATACAATAGGATAAAAAATATCTTAAATTAATTGTATGCACACAGGTACTCAATATAAGCATATATATATATATATACGTATAGCCATATAACAAATAATGAATAGCAGTTGTCTATCAAACTGCAAACCGTATGCCAAAGAAACAAAAGTGATGTCTTTAAACCAAATTTTGAAATGATCACCACTTCTATAACACCGTCAAGTTCATTTGTTAATTACTATTTACCAATCAGAAGAGAGGCAGTGTACTCAAATTTAATCAATTGAATAATGCATTTAACAAAGTTGATTATAACAATTATAGATCGTTAGTTAAGTACTTTAACTATTAAATCGTCATTTATGAAAATGATCAAAGAGTTTTATCACAGTATAATGATTTATTTAGGATAATACACTCAAGTCATACAAATCAAAAATACCATTTATGACCAATTATTTCATCAATAAAGAGCTCTACAACATCTGTCTGGAGAATAATAATACTCTAGCGACTTCCTGACATAATTTACCACTAACTACTAAATAACGATCGAATAACGATGTCCTTGAACGATATAGTACATTTTTCACTTCAACAGAAACACATTATGCCAAAAGTATCATACCAAAACTGTTTAAAAAAAGACTAACTCTCCAGAAAAGAAAAAAAAACGAAAATGCAATTGTTCAGTCTGGTCAAGATCACAGATCTAAAATATCAAGAGAATAAACAGACTGTTATAAAATTCTGCACATAAAGAGAAAATTATACCATTCTGAATATATCCGCAAAACGTTTTTAGAAATCACCATAAAGCTTATAGGAAATTTTATTACATTTTACACAGACTGAAAAACAAAGTAGTAAAATAAAATATGGAGTACTATTAAGTAGAAAAAAGTACTGTTCTGGACAAAGTGGACTTTTCCTTCAACTATGTAAACACGAACAGACTAACAGTGAAGGTACGTGATACATCATTTATATAAACACAAGTGAACAACTATAGACACAGATATAACTGAGAAAATGTTTGGATCCTGGATAACGGAAATTCCAAGAAGCCCAAAGAATTTCTGTAAGCAGCTAGTGAGACCATCAAGTACAGCCGGGGACCTGGGATATATATCTATATACATATATCACCTCGAGGTGCTATACCACTATATCAGCAAGTCAGTCAGCTACAACGTAGGGACAGGCACCTATGTGCATCGATCCAAGTTGTCATACCACATTAGCACAACAAGATGAACATCAAATTCATAGAAGTAGTTAATTCAGTGGTGGTAGTGTATAAAAGAAAGATTGCATATAAGGGCAGCAAAACAAATCCTAGCGTAGTAGAAGTATTCATAGTGTCAGTAGTAACAGAAGAGATTAGGTGTAGAAAACAAGAAAAGATATAAAGAGATTTCAGAATTTAGATTCTAAAAGAAGGCAAGGAGTGAGTGAATCTGCGCCACGTTTATTACACTTATAGTCCACAGTGACGACGATAGTTTATCAACAAATCTAAAAAAAAAACTACCTATTATAAGTATAACGTATGGGCAATTAACTTAATTTTGACTTGTAAAAACAAAAAAAACTATAAACCAGATAAAACGACTATATTTATCACAAAAAAGTTATCCGATTCATCCCAGTTTATGATAAAAATTCACATGGATCTTGTTATGACTTTATGTTCAGCTTTTTATCACGTGATTTATCCACCAATCAAAATACGACCTATACAATCTTCACACAATGCGAAAACCAATGACGTCCGACCGGTATGAGCAGCTTAGCGTCCTGATCGGTTCTATATCCTCCTAGCCCGTCCACTTGAGTCCAGAACACAATACCAGCTTCTGTAGTATGAATCGAATCATTTATTTCAGACATACTGGGTTTATATATCAACCAAATAGACCGCAATGCACCATAAAATAGGAGATAACATTTATACACAATAAAGCCAAAAAGTGTCTGTGAACGTGGGAGATTGTAATAAATAAACTGAGTATAACTTAGGAACAGTAAATCGTACAATAATAATCTATAGGTCAAAATGAAGCTTATAATATATATATATATATATATCATTATATTTCAAACACACTCTGTTTATATACCAATCAAGCATACCACATCGTACCATAAAATAGAAAATAACATTGTACAATATTGACCAGTAGGAAAATGACACGTGAAATAAGTATTGACTAATAAGAGAATAATACCATCTCCAAGTCCAAGAATAGCATTAGACTTAATAGAATAATTTTTGGGATATTTTCCTGAATATCCCAACAGTTATAAAGTTTAAAAGTGACAGAAACAAAATTACGAAAGTTAAAAAAAAACAAAAAAAAAACAAGTGGAAAAAGTATGAAAAATAGTTCTTTTGAAAAAAATCTTATACTGATGGCCAGGGTAGAGGAAGTGATTGTACGATTCTCTTTTGAATGCAAACGTCAGGTTTGTGAATATGGATCGCGAGGGCTTCCGCAATGTGCAACAGACGCACTCGTAAACCATGTGGCAAATTTGATGGGATATTGTAGATAATCTTAAAAGCTTTATTCAATTCAACTTGATGACCTGTGTCAACCAAATGAGAGAGAGAGAGAGAGAATAGAACTTTTAATCTCTTTTACCTGTCCTTTGCTTACCCATGACGGATAATATTATTCAGTTAATTTGGCTCAGAATTTACTCGTGATTTAATCTTCACTTGGATATAACAGAAGATTTCAAAATGCACAATATCTCATTATTATTATTGAAGTAAATCATAGCTATATGTTAATTATTAACATTGAAAATAGATATCTCACGTCTGGAATGAATCGATGACCTGAAAAGTCGGCTAAAAATCGAGTTGATTTAATAACTTTGTGCATAATCGTGATTTAATCTTCGCTCGGATATAATAGATCTTTTTCATGATAATTAATTTGTTCAAAGAATTATTAAGAACAACAAAGAGAAATACTGTATGTAGTCATTTCTTATTTATCGAAATACTTCAAAAGTACCTTGAAGATTAGAGTTATATATTTGAAACAGTGAAAGAATACAAAGGAATATTTAAATGAATAAATAGATGATCATTGATGATAACTAAACATTTGTCAATTATGAACACTAAAATCATAGTAAAACAACATGATAAAAGTGTAAGGACAAGTTCAAGTAATTCATAATATCATCATCTGATCTTGAAGATAATTTCAACCAAAAAGCAAAGAGTTTGTACAAAGCAAGAAGTATTACACAGTAAAAATAATAAACCGTGTTAAAGTTTTGTCATTTGCTAGTTTATCAAAGCTCATTATTAGTTATCTCTAACCTTAATATTGTAGAAATGTTGTTACGTAACATCATGAATCTAAGTGAATATAATTTCACACTGAAATTTTCTATCTGAATTCTTTCATAAAGTCAAAAATCTTTTATAAAACAATTTGTTAAAGGTTTACAGAAATGGGAATACTGCTGGCGTTAAGCTGAAAAATGAAATTCATCAGTCAGTCAGTCAGCTATAACGTAGGAACAGGGGCACATATGTCCATCGATCCAAGTTGTCATACCACAACAAGATAAACACCAAATTCATAGAAGTAGTTAATTCAGTGGTGTTAATGTATAAAAGAAAGATTACATATAAGGATACAATACAGGAAAGAAGAATCGGTTGGTAGAAGAAAAAATATGAAGCGATTTTCATCTCATAATTTAAGGGAAGACAAAGAGTGTATGCACCTACGTCATTGTGATCGATTCTGAGCCATGTCACACACAGTCTCCAACCATTGGTTACGATAGTCACATGGACAACAATCAAGTAGTCTGCATCTACTAACATGGCTAACACTACAAGTTACTGACTACAAGCACTGATGCCACGTTTTGGTTTGACCGCCCGTAAATTTCTTCCTGCTACGCCTAACACTAGTCAGCATTGGACGTCGTGGTAATCGGTGTTCACGCATACGTAACACGTGGCCCAACCATCTCAGTCGATAAAGATTCACAACCCCATCAACTGATTTACCATCATTCCCTAATACCCTGCGTCTAACCTCACTATTACTTACCCGGTGATCCCAGTAGATGCAAGCTATATTTCTAAGACATCTGTGATCAAATACTAGTAGCTTACCAGTATCATCGACTCTTAATGACCATGTTTCGCTGATATACATACATTTAAACTAATCTTTATTTTGACATTCCTATTTGATTAATTCGTTGTTGTATTTACTAAGCTAATCAATACAACTAAGTCAATTGAACTAAAACCTGATTAATCAACACATTATGTAATCATTGTAAATAATAAAAACTGAATGCGCTTGATACGTTTAACATTCATATGACAACAACAACAACAACAACAACAACAACAACAACAACAACAACAAATAAACAAAAAACAAACAAAAAAGAATTTTCTCTGAACAATTTTAAGAATTCTAATAATAATGCAAAATTATTCACATAGTAAATTACATATGATGAAACTTAGTCACTTTTGGAATTTCACACAAAAGCTTGTAAATTATATTAAAGATATTGTATGAACTCATTTCTTAGAATAATGATGTTGAGGAGTACAACTTACACATTCGAATTAATAACATTGAAAAGAGTAAAATGAAATTGTGCGCAAAAATATCATTGTTCACACATACATACATACATACATACATACAGATGAAATATACTCTGACGACAGTCAGTGTGGATTTCGTAAATAACTATGCGTGAAGGGGATGCTTTATGTTAGAAACACCTCAAATGATCTAATTCGCCTTATCTTGGTTTTATCGACAAATTGTTACTCTGATGAATAAACAAGTCATTTGTAACTTTTTTTTTTCAATTCACATAACCATACTGACCGGTTATTATGGTTTTGCTATATTTTGTTATCGATTCAGGTTAGACTGATGACGTGAAAATTTCTATAATTGGAGTTGAAATGCCGTTGAAAACGGAGAGTGAGTAAATATACCAAGATAACAATACTAATAACAAGTACGACAATTATATTGAATCAGCTGCAATAAGGATAATGTATGGAGATGATGAAAGTTCTAACGCGCTAACATTAAGTCCTGAGTAAATCATTGTCATCATTGAATAAATAATCACTACCGACAAGTTGATTGGAAACAATCATCATTTTTTGTCCAACTTATTCATTATGTACTCAGGTATGAAAGTCTATGATATTAACTGTATGCCCGAACAGAAGTAAATAAAGCAGGGTTCGAACCCAAGACTTAGTGTCGAACCTCTGAACCATTGAGCAACCGCTCCACAACATCATCATAATATCAAGAAAATCTGTCGAACAACAACTACTTGTAAGGTATATTAAGTAATGTGATAATAGAACAGATGAGAACTTACGGATTCTCTTCTGAATATGGAACAGCTGGATTTAATTTAATTGTTTGTTGTTCATTACCATTCTGCTTACTAGGTGACGATGATGAAGATGATGCTGACGAAGAAGACTTGTCAGCTGACTGTTTGATCGGTGAATTTTCACTACTACTAGTTGTTGGAGTAGTTAGTGAGCTGAAATAGTTCACAATAGTCCCAATAATAATAATAGTAATAACGATTATGACAATGATAGTACTACGAATGACTAACTACGATCAACATCACTACATACAGAAAGGATATTAATAAAATATAAACTAAGCAAAAGCCGGTAATAATTATATCGATGTAAGTAACAAGAGAAACAGTCAAGGGATTAATTCAAAGAAATGATTCAAGGAATTATAGTGAGAAGCTATGAACAGTGGAATCCAATCAAATGTGAGTGATTGATCGATAGGTTAACAATATCATGAAATACCACGACAGAACAGATATCAAGTGCTTTATAGTTTTCATGGTTTATTTATAAGTAGTATGTTGTGGAACGTGGTGTCTAAGTTTCAATAATCGTCAGACGGAGTGAAGAGTCTCAGTACAGAGAAAGCACGACGTAGGCAAAATACTTGGAGAGCAGACAAGAAGACAGTTCAGATTGCAGAACACATCGAAATATGTAAATGGATAATTGAAGGCTGTGTACATGTATTATGTAAACGCTTTGTAACTTATCACAATAAATACAGATTCTTTCTGCATATTGCCTTATTTTACAGTCTAAATACCCTAATCAATTCAAATAAATTAACCAACAACGAACCATCTTAGTCGGGTAAGTGAAGATTAACTATACAAACTACTCAGCTAATATACATCCACAAATTGATAATATGCAAAAATACGTTTATCGTTTGACAGAAAGTCACTATCAGACATAATACGTATAAAAACAAAAAACCTTACTTTGGTATATTTGACATTGGTGGTGCTCTAGACAATGGACATTTCAAACCAGGTGACTGAGAATCTGAACCATTCGGGCGAACCTTATCTGACATACTAAAAGTATTCATACGTCGTACAGATAACTGATCACCACCACTAGAGGATTCTATCATTATACCTTTACTTTCATCGATTTTCTCTTGACCAGAAGAATCATCCAGATTAGAGTCATTAGCACGTTCGCGTAGGTCAGATACACGAATACGTGGAAGCAGATGAGATCTACGTGAGTATTTAGAAAGCAAATAAAAAAAAATTAAATAAATACAAAAACAATAATGCTAACAATGTTGGAATTAACCAATCACCGCATAAGCAACAAAAGTCCGCTTATATCTACGCTAGTATCTGTCAGATATTAGCAACGTTGGATCTAGTACATGTGCACATAAACATGGAGAGCTAAATTATTAACACAAATATTAAAAGTAGTAACATTATCAGTGGTAGTAGAAAAGATTAGGTATAAGCAACATGGTTCAAAAAAGAATAAATTAGAGGAATAAAAAGTTTAAGTTTCTAGACAACAACTGAATGCATCTATGCCGTTACAACTGATTCTGAGCCAAGTTATTCAATGTCTTTAACCTTTTGTTACTGTTATGATGTGGAGAGTCTGTGTATTGATACTTATACAAAATTTTCTTACACATGAACTATATATATATATATATATATATATATATATATATATATATATATATCAGAAAAGTAGTCCGCCAATGGCTTACGTCACATATCTTGGACAAATTTTCATTATCGTTCCACGACGAAATAGTTGTCTAGTGTTTCCTGGATTTAACTGGTTTTCAATATCAATTATATAAATCATAAATGTTAATCTTGTTCTTCAAGCTAAGTTGCTCCATAAACTGATAGAGTTTGAAATATAGGAAGAGTAAGAGTTAGCAAAGACGATCTCAACTGGAACGGTATGAAACAATAGTCCACGTTATATTATCATCAAGTCACTAGATTTTGTCTGTTTCTGTGACAAAGAAAATTTTCAGACAAAAAAACTCAATACAAAATGATCTTGATGACGTCATTTTCACTGAAACTTGATACTAACTGGTAGCTAATATAAACTTTTGGTAAACGATAACAAAGTAGAAAATGATACTTATTTTTTTAATGGTAAAACGTGATTAGCTAAAAACAAACAAAAAAACTACCTGCTTCAATTTGGGCATCAAGCAGTATCACAGCCCATACACAAATCAAGTGAATTATGTGGCGCACATGGACATTCACTATGAAAATGCATCTATCACGTTATATCGCAATTTTAATTTCATTATGGACGGTTATAAAATTTATGTGTTTGGTTGAAATACTGACCGCAGTCCAGGATGAAGCAGGAGATCTACTCGGGAAACCTTTCTTCTGAGAATTAAGACTAATGGATACACCAGTGAAACAAAGTTAAGATATATCGCTCCAGGATATCCGTAGATAAAACTAAGTCCGTACCATTATTTCTTCCCTATAGATGTTGATCCAACGTACAACGTTAATTTGGAATGAAGGTTTGTCAATTTCCTTAGATGCACCTGCAATACGTACTAGCCCGGTTTAGGTATAGAAGACTGGCCCTTCTTTCTTTTACTTACGCAAAAATTAACCCACAATGTGAAAGGAGTAAGAAGAGTTTCGCGAGGGATCTCATGAGAACATTTACAGATGTCATTTTACCCAACTAATAGACATCTAGAATAAACCAAATGTATTTTAAGCAATCACAATCCAGTAAGATACGTAGAAGGTACATCGATTTACAACGATGTGTAAAATCTTGTCTTTGTCAAGGAAAAAGAAAAGATTGAGATTACAGCAATGTCTACTTTAAGTATATGGTAAGTCGATTTATAATAGCATTATTATCACTGATACCAGTATTATTATTTTGTTTATTATCTCACTGTATTAAGGTAATGTAGATCTATATACTTATATGCACCAGGTTCAATAATGTTTATGATTAACAGATCAAAGTATTAACATCATCTGTTTCAAAATAAACATATTTCAAGTAGGCTAAATATGTATTATAGTCTATTGACAATAACCAAAACAAGAGTAATCATACTGAACAACATATTAAATAGTTTTATGACTAATATAATCATTATTGAATTAATTGACTGAATTGAAAAGGTTGTATTATTTGTTTTTCTCTGAGATATTATCTAAAACAGTTAGTAAATAGAGTAGTCAGTAAGTCAGTCAGTTTGTAACGCTGTTAGAAGTATGAGGACGATTATCACTTCCCGGTTGCCCACACCGTGGAAGGGTTCTTCTGGAGGTACCTGAAAAGGAAAATGGATTAAAGGTGGTCTTAGTGACCTGAGAGTGTGACCGCACTACCCAAAAGACAACTGCTTGTGGTCGGTCACACACGACGTTTTTGAGGGTAGTGGGTAGTCAGTGAAACATAGATTGAACAGTAGTATTCAAATACGATATCTTTGAGGAGGCATATTTAAATATAAACACATAAGCACAAAATACATGAAATGAGAAACAATTGCTGATGATGATGATAATAATAATAATAACTCACTTTTCATCTACACTAGATTTCTCTTGCCTATTCGCTGTTGGACCAGCACTTGCACTGGAATTAAAAAAACATTGAAGCGGTTTTCATGAAATAACAAGAGGATTAATCAGGGAGAGCTGAATCATTCAAACGATCACACCAGACATTCAATCACAGTTAACTCAATCAGCATAAGTTGACATATCAGACAAATAGAAAGGATACTAACAAGATAATTAAACACATACATACATGCATACATACACACTGACATTTACATGAATTTATTTCAGTGGTGAAGTGTGAAAATTCAATTGATTTGCTAACCTTTGTTTCATCCAAGAGATACCACTGATCCGTCGTACTCCATTATATTGAGATCCACTATCGTCTTGTCCAGATTCTTCTAGGTGAAAAAAACACAGGATAGATCAAAAAGTACGTTACAACTCGAAGTGAAATAATCTAAAACTAGATTTAATTCATGAAAAAAAACCCAGTTGAGAAATATATAGACAAACAATAAGCGATAACTTTTCATAGGTTAAACAGTTAGGATAACAGATTAAGAAAATATAAAAGGATTGATATTTTGGACACAAGAAGAATTCAACCATGAACAAAGTCAGTATGAATGCTATGAGGTAGTTGTGCAGTTGTTACATTCCAGATTTTCGACTTCTTAAAAAGATACTTTTACCGGAGGGACTTGAAAAAGAAACTGAGCTTGTAGTAGTCTCGACGACCATTGAACATAACCATATGGATTAAGTGGCAACTGCATTATGTCAGCCACATAAGACCATCTTGTAAGTAGTCTTGATGCATTAGTTTTGCACATTTCATGCCCTACTAGATTTGAACCCAGGACCTATCAGTTTCTTGCGCAAGCGCGTAACCACTAGACCACTGAGCCGGTATCCAACGGTGTTGATATATATTTTATTTATTTATTTGAACACATAAATATTGGTACAAGAGTGCGCCAAATATATATGCGCCACACAAAACAATGGGAATACGAAGAGGAAAAGGGAAATAAAGGTAAGGAGCGCAAAAAAGAACAATAACGAACAGATTAGTGTAAGGTAGTGTAATAATAATAATGGTAATAATGGAGGAACGGAGAGGTACAATCAGAAGAAATCTATCAGTTAAAGAAGATACAACCACTTTTTATGAAGAAAGTAAAAGAAGGTTACAGCAGGATCGCCACTGCCTTCTATTCTGAGCCATATCTGATAACGTCTCTAGCCACTGTGTACCACCATCTCTCAGACCCCAACCAGGGAGTCGTGAAGGACCAACACAAACCAGTCTTTTGCAGCTTCTTTTCATACCACGACACCATATCATACACTGAACACCTCTCCACCTAGCTTTTTCCAACCAGTCCTAGAGTCGGCAAATAATGCACGACGTGGAATTCTCTGGGGCGACACTCGTAGAACATGTCCAAGCCACCGAAGTCGGTGTTTCAAGATAGTGACACCAATTGCATTATCGTCTCTCTGCCCGAACACACGATGCCGAACCTCTGCATTACTGACTTGGTGTTGCCACTGGATGTCAGCAATCCTTCGGAGACAGCGATGATCGAACACAGAGAGTCGTCTAACATCCTCAACTCGGAGAAGCCAGGTTTCACAAGCATAGAGCAAAACTGCTCTCACCAACGCGTTGTAGATCCGACCTTTTACGGCCAGACTAACATCACGAAGGCGCCAAAGATGACCCGGATTGGCATAAACCGCTCTGGCTTTCACTATACGTGTATTGATCTCATCACTCACACCCCCACCAGCACTTATGCAGCTACCTAAATACACGAACTTCTCAACTACTTCTATCTGCTTACCATCCAGGGTGAATGCAGGATTCGCTTTTCGTGCTTTTAATTTCGTAAACAATAGTAATGCTACGAGAAGGCAGTGACTGAATGCATGTGACCATGTGGAAGCATGTTTCGAAGGAGAGCTGACTCTCTCCACCATCGACCGTACTCAAATACTGAGTATACACCACAGCAGATGAAAACTGATAACAAGTCAACTGACGATCTACGCTTACAATTTACAAATGTGAGTAAATGAAGTACCATTTTAAAAAGTTGATAAATGAATGAAAATTAAAACAAATAAAACTACAGTCAGATTAAGTTGTTGCATCATTTCGTGAAGTCATTAACCATTGTACTAAACCTTTTTAGATATTTATTTTCCTTGAGTCATATTCTGTATGTAAGTAATTTTCTAATACAACTGCTACTATTCTGTCTTAATTATTCCAACCTCCTATGTTAATATCGTGTAACAATTTGAACTGATCAATTTATCCCCCCAAGTTTACATGTCACTTAATAACTAAGTAAGAAAAGTTCCATCACGAATCTGAACTACACTTTTATTATGTATGAAGGTTAATAGATGATTCTGTTGTATGTGTAGAACAGGAATCAGACCAGAGACTGTCATAACTTGTGGTCTGTGTGCCCCGTTAATGTATAACGTGATGATACAGGCAATTGGAGAGCAGTGAATTATCGACTGGACCAATGACACATAAAAACCATGCGAGCAGTCTAGAGTCCTGCCTCCTGCCTAGCTCAGCCAGTTACGTCCAGAACACAAATCTCAGCCTCTGCCATATGAATAATTGATTTCAAACATACTGGGTTTATATATCAACCAAATAGACCACATTGTACCATAAAACAGGAAACAACATTTGTACAAGTTTCAGTCAAATTTGGCTGTGAATGTGGGAGATAGTAAGTGATAGACAGAGCATAAATAAAGAATGGTAAATCGTATAATAACAGTTCACAGGTTAAAATAAACCTTATCATAAGAGCAACATGACTATGAATAGTTCAATGACTGAAAAATTATACGATAAAAATATATCCATAGTATTGTTAGATAAATGGATCCCAAAAGTTACTAAATGTCCTTGTACGACGGAGTGTGGTGAGAGTCCGCTCTCCCTCTCGAAATGCTCTTACATGACCACACGTATATAGCCTCTGCCAGGGAAGTCCTAATCACTGACTTCTCATGGCGGAGATGTTCATTATGAAATTGATAGAACGAAAAGCGAATGTCCAGTGTTTTAACCGTGTTGTTGGACACGGAGAATCCACCTAGGGAATTTGAAAAACCCCGATTACAATTCAATGGTGTACATGGGACTAAACCTCCTTACGATGCTCCATTGTGTAGTGGATCAAACCTTTAGGTCGAAGGTGTGGCACCCAGGCAGTATCACATCCCTCATACAAATCAAATGAGATATGTGTGGTGCATATGTATCTGGTGCCTCCTTGTACCAATAACTATGTGTCCACATAAATAAATAAATAAACACATAACTTATCGGGATATAACAAGATCGATTAGTCTAAATCTAAATACATTAACCATAATCTTTATTGTTACAGTTTATTACACTTTTTACAAATTGACATAGTGTAAAAGATGAATTGGATTGTCTTTATTACAAAAAATATGTAATCAATAATCTGTACCACTACTATTTGACGAATATACATAAATCAAGTTATAGGTTAGTGTGGATGTGTGTGTGTGTGTGTGAGTGGGGGGAGTGTTCTTTTGTGTCGTTTTCGTTACAAACTACATTTGAATAGACACTAAACGATAAACTGTAGAGTAAAAACAAAGGTGAATGATCTTAAATTACTCATAATAGACAAGTAGAATACAATTATGAAGTGAAGTGAATTGAGAATACATGTGTCCATGTATAATAACACAATATTTATATGCTAATGAATTCAGCAATTCACCAAATACATTAGCTCAGTCAATGTTTAATTTTATTGTTATATAGTTTATCATTGCTAGAATTTACGTGATTTAACCAAATTATGGTTTACATGTGAAAAAGATTATTCAAAATAAAATCATTAATTAAGATTTGAACTATTCTTCACCTTTTCAGTCAGTCAATCAGTTACAATGTAGGACCAGGCACATATGTGCATCGGTTCAAGTTGCCATACCTCGTTCAGGTGTGTTAACGCAGACCAATGATGAAACAACAACTTGCATTTGGAAGAGGAGAAACACATCCCAAATATTCTGGCATTGTTGCTTAGTGCTATCAAAAGACTTTGCATTTTATCATCGTCTTCACCAAACAGGACTATATCATCTGCGTACTCTAAGTCGATAAGTGGATTTCGTGGTAGGAGATCAATACCCGAGAATTCAGTCGATGAGAGCGTTATTTCCATCAGTAGGTCTATGATGAAGTTAAACAAAAATGGAGAAAGTGGACAGCCTTGACGGACACCTCTTGAGGTTGCAAAAGTAGATGACAGTTCGCCATAAGCTCTGACTCGACTAGTAGTGTTCGAGTAAAGAGCCTTCACAAGGTTTATGTACTTCTGAGGTACGCCTTTCAATGACAGACACTGCTACAGAATCTCGCGGTCTACCGAGTCAAATGCTGCTTTCAAGTCTAGAAAGAATAGATTAGTAGCATAACTAACCTGTATATAATTAGTCTAGGTTAAATACTTAAATAATGAGTTACATTAAATTTAAACGATGTACTAATATACAAATACAAACAAAATGTCACCTGCAAACGAAGTAGTATTGTTTAAGATGTTGGTTATTTAGAACGTTATAACAATATTATACAGCAAACAGTAGAACTTCACTTTCGTCCAAACTGCATAAACGCTAAGATAGTGTTAAATAAAAATGTCTGGTTGCTATGGAGGAATATTGTAAACAATGGAAATACATACATATCAATTATTATGACCCAGTTACTCTTATATTGCTAAGTACTCATGGACACGACTTCATTCGACATGCCCATCAATCGGCACACGGTTGAACAGGAATTTAATTATACTTCGAATAACAAGGTTGGATGGAGGTAGGAATCACAATTAAAAAAAACGTTAATATATTTATAATTTTTAGATAAGATTCTAATGACCTCTCCAATCTCCGTTAGAACTGATTGGTTGAGAAATATCCAATTAGTGTGCTTCAATAGTCCTGGACGGAACAATATTTAACCTAATCTACACCCCACTAATAGTAATACATTTTAAAAAAATTGAGTGCCTACTTTAAATTTACACAATGATCTACTTTATGAAGATTTTAATATCATTTATTTCCCACTTTAAAATGTTCATCATGATTTTAAGTACGTATTGACAATGTAGTCTTAGTGACCAGAGAGCAAACTAGCCACACAAAAAAAAACAGACACATCATACCACTGATTGATTTTGGCAAGACAATTATTGAAGGTGACTTAGTTACCTACACTGATAACATACGATGATTTTTGTGGTACAAATCGACATTGATTATAAATACCTGTCAGGATTACGAGAATCAGTAGTTAGTAGTAGTGTTCAACTCATTGCAAAACATGAAAGCTTTCAGTTTATTCTTATTTGTAGATAATGGTAGGGATTATTTACTTCATAAATAAGATAGAACAACTATTTTTTCTATAATCCAATAGTTAACATCACGTAATGACAATAATTGAACAAGCACTGAAAACTAGGCAGTAATGAGTATGTTTATACGAATATTCGTCAAGATTATAATGAATAGTTTGACAGTAATTGAGCGCCGAGTATAGAGAAGTCATTATATGTGAAAATTATATTTGAAATATTCTCAGCAATTTAAATAATTCCAACGTTTCGTCCAGCTAACTTATCTGGACTTCTTCAGGGTAATAATCAAAATCATCAAAGAAATATATAGCTATTTTAACAATCAGAATTATACTGTGTTAAACCAATCATATTTGGATGTTGATTTTTGTAAAATAGGATCGAATGAGTTAGTTAACTACAATCCATGTGAAGAATTCCACTACATGGAATGAGTGTGTTTTAACCTAATATGAGACTTTTCAGCAATATATATCCTAAACACACTAGGGAATAATCCCAAGACTTTTATGTTTTGAGTCGAGTGTTCAAAAACAATCCAATAACATTTAATGGTCAACATAATTGATTTCAATCAATTCATAATAATGAACCATTTTTCAATGTTATTATTGATAAATTACTGCCTCACATTTAATAAAGTGGTACTCCCTTGGTGATACATTTACATTAGAATTCAAAGAATTATCTCTTACAATTAGTCACTAATGTAATACATGATTGTTATGAATGCAAGAAAGAATATCGACAACATTTAATAATATTCAGGAAAAGAAAGAGTTAGAGTTTGGGGAAGAAAAAAGAAAGAAAATACTGAACAAATTATAGAATAACAATAATCATTATGTAATATATCGATAATCAATACAAATCAATAAAAAAAACAAAGAAAAGACGATATAAACATGTAAATAATTTTTTGTAATTTTCAACAAGAGAATCTAACTTATACAAAAAGCTCAAACATGTGCGCACACACACGCCAGAATGAGAACAATCGCATAACAACAACAAAAATAATAATAATAATCAGCAAAAAAAACTTTTTTTGAATCAGATCAATAAAACTCATTTCCTTCGATCGTAGAGAGAGAGAGAGAGGGGGGAGAGAGAGAGTAAACGAGTATGTACAATAAAGAGAAAAGAGTATATTTTTGTTGTTGTTACTTTTCCATAGAAATAAAATGAATTTTATCGATTAAATGTATGTAATATTAAAACAATCAAATAAATGATAATAAAAATGGATAAATTGTTTTATGTACTTGGAGAAATCGAGAGGTGTGTGTGTGTGTGAGTGTGAAGATCAACTGAATTACGTAAGTCATTTTATACAAAAATGCATTATAAATTGATTCTGGCTATGCGAATTAGATGTTACCACAGTAAGTAGAGTGAATGTAAGATAAAAGACTATTTCAATGGAACCTCCACTATGTCCACTTTAAAATAACTCTTAATACAACCTTAAAACTACTGAGAAAACCAAAACAAACAAACAATTTATTCATCGCTTCCACTAACGATGATTTAGCCATATCCAGTGGAAACAAATGGCGTATGAACCAATCGTTGGTCACCGGCTACCATGAAACTGTATGTCCTCACGATGCTCCACTGCCTTTTGGGTTAGACATTTAGGTCAAAGGCTCGGGGTGTGGCCCCCTAAGAAAACCACCTGCTTCGGTTTTGGGCACCCAGACAGTATCACAGCCCACATACAAACGTGTGACGCATATATATTTGGTGCCCTTCTGTACCAATATTTATGTGTTCAAATAAATAATATATATACATATGTTGGTATTAGTATGTTTATCCGATATATCCTCAGGATATGTCATTCACAAAGCGAATTCTGTGGTATCTCTCTAATTTAAATAGCATGAGTGCAGTTTATAATTTCAAATTGCAGATCACTAAAAATCTAATCATTTAGTTGATATTAGTCAAATTTCCAAGATATCATTCCATTTCTTTCTATCTAATAAAAGATAAGCTTGTTGTTGAACAAATGAGTCTACATTTTGATTGAAATTTCAGTTTAACTCTGTTTACCGTAAACAGAGAGGTCGTTTGATTGATTCGAGTAGGATAACACCATTGAATATCAGATTTCGAATTGAAATTCAATTACACTTGAAAAATTAAAATTAGTTCAATAAGAAGATGCAATGTAAAACCTGGGCACAGGATTGTAGTCTTAAGTAAAATTTTAGTATTATAACACTCTTTAAGTCAATGAATAACTTGAGTACTTTAAAAAACCGTATAATTAATGATTGAGTTTTGTATTAGATTTAAATAGGAGATAATTGTTTAATGGTTAACAAACAAAATTATATGGATTCGAACCCATTCTATTGAATTTGCTTCAGACATCTATGTAATATCACTAGACCATCTCATAACTGAGAAATGTGTATAACTCAAACAGTATACTAATGCTTCTTGGATTGATAAGTAACACATTGAAATATAATTAAATTCACCCATTTGAAATTAGGCAAAGCTGAAAATAGTTTTTTTAACAGTAATAAAACTCGGAACTATTCAGCTACCACGTCAATTATATATATATATATATATATATATTGTTAATGAATTAATGTAGTTACACAATGTTGTGTTTGTCATATTATCTACGATTAGGATTAAAAGGAAATTTTGAAAGTGATGTAGCTGTTACGTTGACAAGTTCGTTGCTCATGTTTGTCTTGATGACTCAGTCGAGATATATTAGCTGAAACAATTGCTCTAGGTCCTACCACCCCAGCAAATTCATGGTCCAAGAGAGAAAGAGCACTCCCAACTGTATTCGATAATATGATGGCAATAATATATGTCCCTAAGAGTAGAGGCATCTTAAACGATGATGCCTTCCAAAAGCGGGTGTGTAGAAAAAGCCGTATTTTAAATATCCACATCATAACATCCCCAACAAATTCCCGATGTAAGCCAAAACACCTTACAAATACAGAGTGTCAATCAGTTCTTTCTTGGGCTTGTACAAATCATCATTCACTTATTTTCCTTAATAGGTTGCACGAGAAGTATCCTTGAACTATGAAGTCGATTTGTATGTGACAAGTCTCTCTCTCCCTACCAAACTCCTGAAACCACTCAAAATCTATGAGTGTATATTATCAAAATGATGAGATGAGATAGTAGTATAGTACGATAAAGGACTGATTACTTACTACTAGAAGACGGTTTTTAGGAATACAAGCACAAATCTCTAGCATAGTGTATACCACAAATACACATAATAAATTAACTTTTTGATGAAACAAAAGATCACACGTACCATTTAGTACTGTTTCGGCAATTAGATAGGAAAATAAACATTTATAAAACATTGTGGCTTAAAACAGATAATATAAACCTGTATTGGTGAAAAATGAGATACGATTATTTCCACACATATTTCTATTTCATGTGTAGGACGTTGTGTATCTAGTAGATTGCAGTTAAACTGTAAGTAAATTTTATTTCACAACTCACTACTACTGTGGTGTGAGTTATTTATATCCACATAAGTAGTATATAACAGCAGACAGGGATAGAATGTATTTCAGTAGGAAAGAACGGAAACGGAAGGCAATTGGTATGAAAATGTAGGAACAATGAAATCTGAGACGATGGACCGATATTTTCAAAAGGAACAATCGAGTTTAAGACAACTGATTGATATTTTGCAAATGAATTATTTACTGTATTGTTCTCAGATTTTAGTTAGATGTTCTGTAATTTTGTGCTCAAAAACATCCGATTATTCCCACAAGTGTTCTTGTTCACTACAATACAGCCACAACCAGATGGTGTAAAAGCCATATTTTAAAAATCGATCAACCACAATAACATGACACAAGATGAATATTAGCATGAGAGATTTGAATTGTAGTATTTCCACAGTTAATACCACGAACTGATCGTAACTAGGCCACCATTGAAAACCTGGATTTCAACCGTGAAAATACAACAATTTATACTAATCCCCCATACTTATAATATTCATCTGATAACTAGTGACTAGATTCGAAATAGAACTCTTGGAGTTCTAGTGAAACTCCATGACGAGTTCAAAACATGTAGGATGTGAGACAGTTATCCACCACAGGCAACGGATGAAGGCCCAAGATCATCGATTGATTCGAGTTAGAGATTAATACTATTGGATATCAGTTCGGTAGCCTAGATGTTGAGCGTTTGCGCGTGAAACCGAACGTTTTGGGTTTGAGTGGATGCGCACTAACGGCATCCCATACTAGAACAATGGTATCCAATAGATCGATTTTTAAACATTTAACCAACTCAACTGATTTATCCCCACCCCATGAGAATCACAATGTAAAGCGATCTACAAACTTAGCCAAATTGGCCTAAATGTAGTACCGATAAGAAATTTTCGTACATTAATTAAAACCGCACTGCAGTATTCAATTCCTCATTTTGCCATGGTGTTAAATTGACTGTTTTAATTGTATGTGCTATGATTACCATGAGTTCATTTATTCTACATATTTTGTTATATTTGTCAAACAGATAATTACCTTTCACATAACTCTCTTTCCTGCACTATTATTTACATACCATATTTCTTGATATTCAAACATTAATCATTTAACTGTTACATCACAATCTGTCTATTTCCATCATACTATAATGTGATGCACTATATATTTGATGCTCAATTGTAAAAGAATATGTAAAAATTCTTATTATATAACATTTATTAACTCACTTTTATTCTGGTATGTTAATCCATTTTGATTAGTTTTCTGTTTATTATTATTGTTATTATTCCCATTGGGATTGTCTAAAGAAGATTGACCTTTCGATGATGTAGTAGTTTCATCTTCTGTAACAGTAGCAGGAGTAGACGAGGCAGCAATTGTAATACCTTCGGAACAAGAGGATTGGTGATGATGATGATTAAGTCCTGTATTCCCATGTAATGATTGTGATTGATTAGATGGAAAAAGACTACCAGCTGGTAAAGTTAATCTTGTTTTTGGATCAGCTAATAATAGATAAATTGCAGTGACATTATTAAAACTTTGTTTGATTAAAGCTTCACGAACATCATCCGGTCGATAACCCATAATACGCATAATTTCTAAGTAATAATACAAATAAATATGCATATGAATATTATGAAAAAATCAATTTTAAAAGAGTAACAATACTATTTTAGTTATGCATACAGCACAATTTCAAAAATCGACTAATATATATGGATTTTGGAACTTTCAATAAGAATGTAATTAGCATTAGTTAAGACAGAATATATTTTCGTTGAAAAACTAAAAGATTAATCATTTAATGTTATTGATATTCCATACATTTTATCAATATAGTATAGAAACTATTCGAAATTTGTAGAATTTACAAAATCACATAGTACATACACACACACACCGAGAGAGAGAGAGAGATACACAAAAAAAACATGAAAGGTCACTATGATTAGATAATTTCCAGAAATTTAGTGACAAGATGTAAGTATTTGTTATAACTGTGACGACAGATTAGAGGGTAGCGAATTATGATCGGACCAAAGACGCACAAACACATAGAACGACCTAGGGTTCTGTTTGTCTCGCTTCCCTGTCTTTGGTCCGATCAATAATTCGCTACCCTTAATCCGCAGCAAATATTTTTCAGTTATAGCAGTATTGAAGTCCAAATTGTTGAATATGTTATTTATTTTATTTGAACACATCGATATTGGTACAACGAGGCACCGAAAAAAGATGCGCCACATTTGTCATTCGAATTTGTGTGAAGGATGGGATACTGTTCGAGCACCCAAACTTGAAGCAGGTGGTTTTCTTAGGGGATACAACCGGAGCCTTCAACTTAAAAATATGATCCACAGGGCAGTGGAGCAACGTCAGGAGGGTTGGCCCATGATATCCGGTGACCAATAATTAGTTCATACGCCATTCGTTCCTTCATGATATTAGAGCCCATTTGCACCACTTAATATTCATGATAAATTACGAATAGAAGTTTCGAGAACGAATATGCAAACATACATACACACACAAACACACAAAAGACAGAATAAACATGAGAAAAACATTCTGGTGAAGCAAATCAATGAAAAATATTGTAGAGAAATATGATAATTAAGTTTTACTTAGTCGACAAATATTAGGGACAATTTTCTTATAAGGGAAGGACGGAAGTAGACGACGTTATTTTGTGAGAGAGAAAAAGAAGGCAAGAAACAAGATGAAAAGAAGGAAATATATATATATATATATTGGAAAGATCAATAAAAACACTGAATTAGATCAATTACTAAGTTGAATACAAAGTCAGTACACTAATTTCATTAGATTTTTGATTGAGATCATGAAATGATTAATGTTAGACCACCAATGAAAACCTGGAAGCACTGGACAGCCATTTCATCCTATTGTGGGACTCCTCAGTAGTGCGTATCCACGATTACGCTCGCGGGATTCTAACCCAGGACTTATCTGTCACGCACGTGAACGCTTAACTTCTAGACCACTGAGCCAGAATCCAACGGCGTTAGTGTCTAAACTCAACCAATCTACGAAATTGAACGACCATCCTCCATTGTACTGAGGTAGATACCTGTCTCTACACGACACGGATTAGCTCCACTTGTCACGACTTCACAAGAGAAGTCTGAGAATTCCCTCACGAAGCTAGTCACTTGTGAGCACATGGTAATTATCAGAATAGGGTTGTGGAGATTATTATAGTTATTAAGTTAAAAATTAACACCGTTGGATGCCGACCCAGTGATCCTGAGCTTAAGCATTCGCGGGCGGGTCTGAAGGCCCCGGGTTCGAATCCCGCGAGCGGAATCGTGGATACGCACAGCTGAGGAGTTCCACAATAGGATGAAATGGCCGTCCAGTGTTTCCAGGTTTTCAATGGTGGTCTAAAATCAATCGATTCATGATCTGAATCAAAAACTTATTAATCTCCACAACCCTGTATTGATAATTTCATTAAAGTACTCAAAATAATGAAACAAAGTAATTGGTGGTGAGAAGTAAATATATAAACATTATGAAACTAATGTAATTTTCACGACAAAATCATCAGTTAGTCAGTCAGTCAAGTACAACGTAAGACCAGCCATATATATTCATCAGCTTCAATTGCTACACCCCATTATCACAACAAGATGATCACGAAATTCATAGTAGTTACTTCAATAGTGGTAATATATAAAAGAAAAATTGCATATAAGGATATAATACAGGAAAGAAGAATCGGTTGGTAGAAGAAAAAGTATGAAGCGATTTTCATCTCATAGTTTGAAGGAAGACAAAGTGTGTATACACCTACGCCATTGTGATCGACGCTGAGCCATGTCACACACACAGTCTCCAACCATCGTTTACGATTGTCACACGGACAACAATCAAGTACTCTGCATCTACCAACATGGCTAACACTACAAGTTAGTAACTTCAAGCACTGATGCCACTTTTTAGTTTGGCCACCTCTAACTTTCTCCCAACCATCTCTAACACCAGTCAGGATTGAGCGTCGTGGTTATCAGTGTTCAGATATAAGCAATACCATGGCCCAACAATCTCAGTCGATGAAGATTCACAACCTCATCAACTGATTTACCATCATCATTCCCTAACACCCTGCATGTAACCTCACTATTGCTTACCCGGTGATCTCAGTAGATGCAAGCTATATTTCTAAGACATCTGTGATCAAATACTATTAACTTAGGAGTATCAGTTAAAACTACATAAAAGGTGTGATTTGTTAAGAAATGCTCTTAAATGCCATTAAAAAACAAGAGAAAAAAAGAATCCAATTGGAATGATGTAATTATTCAAAAAGATTTAATATGCACTGCATTAAAGATTTCAGGTGGTTGGTAGTCATTATTAAAAAAAAGACATATATTTCGTTATCTTTAGTATTTGATGTCAGCACAGCGTATACACAATCTTCAAAGAATTGATGCTATCTATGATATCCCAAATTTTGAATTCAAACCACGTTTATTAAATAAGAAATCGATCGATTAACCTAACAAGTAAGAAACCACAATTTATTATTTTAAAAAATCAGTCATTGATATATAACCTGGAACTTTGCAACCATGTATATCATTTCAAGCTGCTCCATCATAACAGAACAATGAGATGTAATTATCATAAATAGAAATCCAGTGTAGTAAAAATAACTCCACCTGTAGCTCTTCTAGATTTACTGCCGGTCCCAAGCCCGGGTAAAGGTGGACGGTTGGGCATGGGATTACCGACCCCATCCCGTAGAAAACTAACTCGCTAAAAAACGCTAACCAAAAAAATAATTCAAACCATTTTAACTCTGCACTGGGAGTTTGATCTTCATTTAGAAGAAATATGACGCCTCATGGTGAAAGCCAAGTTCTTCGGAAGCCATGAGGTCGATGCCCCATCTAACAACAAGAGCAACAATTTTTATAGGTACATGGAACGTCCGAACAATGTGGAAGACCGGGAAGACCAGTCAAATAGCAACGGAAATGAGGAGATACAACTTGGCAGTACTGGGAATCAGCATTAACTTCAACGTGTCAGGAGATTCTGGGCCTAAAGAAACACCATCATAAAGAATGGACCTCAATAGAAACACTGGACAAGATCAAAGAAAGAAAGAACAAGCAGACAGCAACTAACAACAGCCGAACACGAACAGAGAAAGTCCAAGCACAAGCTCAATACATGGAAGCAAACAAGCAAGTGAAGAAGAGCATTAAAGCCGACAAGCAGAAATATGTGGAAGAATTAGCAACGACGGCAGAAAAAGCTGCTACAGAAGGAAATATGAAACAGCTTTACGATACAACGAAGAAACTAGCAGGGAAATACAGTAAACCAAAGAGACCGATCAAAGACAAAGAAGGCAGGCCAATCACTGAAATTCAACAACAGCGGAACAGATGGGTAGAATACTTCGAGAAACTCCTGAATAGGCCGGCTCCAATGAATCCATCGGACATCGAAAAAGCACACACAGATCTTCCTATAGATATCAATCCACTAACGACGGAAGAAATCACAATGGCCATCAGACAAATCAAGAGTGGTAAAGCAGCACGGCCCGACAACATACCAGCTGAAGCACTGAAGTGGGACATCGAAGTAACTGCAAACATGCTTCACCTTCTATTCAAAAAGATTTGGGAGGAGGAACACATGCCAATGGACTGGAAAGAAGGACACCTCATCAAGATTCTAAAGAAAGGAGACCTGAGCAAATGTGAAAACTACGGAGGCATTACACTATTGTCAATACCAGGGAAAGTCTTCAACAGAGTGTTGCTGAACCGGATGAAGGATGCAGTATACGCCCAACTTTGAGATCAACGAGCTGGATTCCGCAAGGATCGGTCGTGCACGGACCAAATTGCGACACTACGGATTATCGTCGAACAATCAGTTGAGTGGAACTCGTCACTGTATATCAACTTCATTGATTATGAAAAGGCATTTCACGGCGTAGATAGGAGAACGTTATGGAAACTTCTTCGGCACTGAGGAGTTACTGAGAAGATTGTCAACACTATCCGGAACTCAAATGACGGACTACAGTGCAAGGTCGTGCATGGAGGACAGCTGACAGATGCATTCCAAGTAAGAACCGGAGTCAGACAAGGCTGTTTACTCTCTCCCTTCCTCTTTCTTCTGGTGGTCAACTGGATTATGAAGACCTCGACATCTGAAGGAAAACACGGCATACAATGGACAGCTCAGAACCAATTAGACGATTTGGACTTCGCAGATGACCTGACCCTCCTATCGCATACACATGAACAAATGCAGATAAAGGCAGCCAGTGCAGCAGCAGTCTCAGCATCAGTATGCCTCAACATACACAGAGGGAAAACCAAGGTCCTCAAATACAACACGGAGAACAGCAATGCAGTCACTCTTGATGGCGAAACTCTGGAAGATGTAGACTCCTTCACATACCTGGGAAGCATCATCGATGAACAAGGAGGTTCAGATGCAGATGTAAAGGCGGAGATTGGCAAAGCCTAGGCCACATTCCTTCAACTGAAGGACATAGGAAAATCAAAACAACTCTCAACCAATAACAAAGTCAGAATCTTCAATACCAACGTCAAGGCAGTTCTACTGTATGGAGCTGAAACTTGGAGAACTACAACAACCATCATCAAGAAAGTACAAGTATTTATAAATAGCTGTCTACGCAAGATACTCAACACTCATTGGCCGGATACCATCAGCAACAGCTTTTTATGGGGGAGAACAAACCAGATTCCAGCTGAAGAAGAAATTAGGAAAAGACGATGGAAATGAATAGGACATACGTTACGCAAATCATCAAACTGCATCACGAGGCAAGCCCTTACTTGGAATCTTGAGGGGAAGCGGAAAAGAGGAAGGTCAAAGAACACATTACGTCGAGAAACAGTAGCAGACATGAAAATGATGAATAACAACTGGAAGGAGCTGGAAAGGATTGCCCAGGACAGGGTTGGATGGCGAATGCTGGTGAGCGGCCTATACTCCTTCGCGAAGAGTAACAGGTGTAGGTAAGTAAGTAGTAAAAGTATTAACAATACAATGATTACCTAACACATAACTGATTGATTAATATGATATATATACCTGTGCGGAGTCATGATGAAAAGCTAATATCAAAAAAATATTTCTTCAATCTATTTCTGGCCCCCTTGTATCAATGTTTGTGTGTTTAAATAAATAAATAAAATAAAATAAATGTTCAAATAAATTTGATTGTAACAATAATCCATTTGCTGATGTAAATGATGACTTAATTATGAAAATGGAAAACTACTCATGTACATATATATGTACCTGGTTACTTAGTTACTGAGTTCAACACAAAAACTAGACTGAACACCATACCAAAATGGTTGCAGAAACAAATGGATTTCAATAGTCAAATAAGATCACAGAATAGACAGAAATCATCATCCATTGCGAAACATTTGATTGAAACTAGTCATACGGTTGACATCAAATCATCATTTCTAGTGTTCTACAAAAGCTTTCAAGAACATATACCAAGGTTTATTGAAGCACTAGCTATACGGAAATTGAAACCCCCTTTATGTGTTCAAAAACAATTTGTCCTTACACTTAACCTATCTTGGTAATACATTTGTTTCTATGTACTTCAATATTTCTTTCCTTTGTTATGGCTCACTCTTAACCTGTCTAGTTGACCTTTTAATTTTTCATATATAAATGTTCTTAACAAGTATCTTATGTGTGATCAGATTGTTCGAAATGTATTACGCAATTCTATCATTTTACATAAATCTGATAAACTTCATCTTCTCATTGCATTATTGAAAAACTAGACCGTTTCAGTTAGAGAATAAAGACGAAGATATAGAAAAAAATGTTAAGCGTGAGTAATAATTTATACATTGATTTACCCTTAATGTGACTCTTTTGGCTGGATTCAATACCAATAGTTTACGAAGTAATGCTTCACAATCAGTTGACATATAGAATGGAACACGATATTTGCCACGTAATACACGTTCTTGTAAATCCTAGAATTAATTTATGTATACATATATGTATAAATGTGTATTATATATGTATGAAAAAGCGGGATGAAAAAAAAGGTTGAACCTTATCAGAAGTTTCAATTATCAATCTCAGATTATATCAGAAAAATCTAGTGAAATAATTATCATGAGAACTAATTCCTATGTGTATGTGCCCGCACGACTAACTTTGAACTAATGCATGTCTAAAACAAAAATAAGATGCTGTATAACTGTCTATCTCTTTCATGGAGTAAGTTCACTATTCAGTTAAATTAAAAAATATTCACCCGATGATCCCTTCATTCTACTATTTAGATGGATCTGGAAAAAAAAATCGACCACTTTTCAAGAGATAGTCTATGTGTCAGTAAGTGAACAAGAAGTCATTAGATAACATAAATAGTTTGTTGATGCTAATCTAATTTAAGTAAGTATAAAATGACTACTCTCCCCCCCCAAATGTCCTGGTACGGCCAAGGGTAGGGAGAGTTAGCTCTCTCTCCACAAAATGCTCTCACATGGTCACGTCCAAACAACCACTGTCAGTCAGACTCATTACCATCTCCCGGTATTACTATTGTTCACGAAATTGAGAGAAAGAAAAGTGAATGTCCGGCGCTTTAAACGGGTTGGTGGGCACAGAGTATCCACCAAGGGGAGTAGGAAAATCTTGATTCCAAACCAATGATGCAAATGGGCACCAGGATCCTAAGAGAACAAATGCCGTGTAAACCTATTGTTAGTCACTGGCTACCATGGGACTGCATCTCCTAAAGTTGCTCCACTGCCTTGTGAATCAATGATTCATTTGCTTCGGTTTGGGTACCCGGGCAATATAACAGCTCACACACACACTAATCAATGATAACTGCTACTGGCCTCATTGTTATTGTGTGTATTTGGTGCCCCTTGCTCATATTATGTTGATTAAAGTAGGCAAGTGTACCGGAAGCGATCCGAAAAGATATATGTATACAGCTAAATAAATAGTTTACGCAAATCCTAAATTTTATAAGTATTTCAAATATTAAAGAAAAAAAGCGGAACGATTAAAACTAACTTTTAAATGTTGTGCATCAAATGGTAATGATCCACTGACAAGTGTATATAAAATTACACCTAATGACCATACATCCACTTCTGGACCATCATATTTACGTCCTTGAAATAATTCCGGTGCAGCATATGGTGGACTACCACAAAAAGTATCTAATTTTTTAGATCCATCAAAAAGATTGGAGAAACCGAAATCAGCAAGTTTAATATTAAAATATCCATCGAAGAGAAGATTCTCAGCCTGAAATGCAATCGAAAATTGTATCGATAATTGAAGTGATCTACTCTAGTGGATAAAGAGTAGAATAATGTAGAGCTAATGTGGAGCTAATCTATGGGCTACTACTTCACAAGAGAGCTTCCATTGTATCTGCGTCAACGTACGAAATAGCTAAGGGCGAGAATGGGTTTGTCCTATGATTGTTTTGACTGTTTTTCAAGATAAAAACTTAAGACATGTAGTTAATCCATAACTGCAAAGAATACGGGAAAACTGAAAGTTATTATGAGAAGTACATATTTTAAGTTTTTAGAGAACTTTCAGAATACAATGATATGAATTCACACAATTGAAAAAACTCAAGATGATATCCTAGTAATCAAGTGTAACAACAAGTAACACGGCATTATTGCATGTAAACATCACATAAAAACATGATGACAACACATTAAGACATTAAATGACGGTCAATAACACAGCCTTTTCATGACTATTTTTATTTATTTATGCACACTTTGTAACCTCATCTCCGATATTAAAGATTTTATCTCAAAAGACAGTCCAGCTTACTACTATCCCAACATTTGCTATCCACGCTATTAAAGTCTACGAGAAGGCAAAGTCACTGGAAACTTAGATTCTCTGTAAAAGATATTGCCGCAAACTTATCAAAGTCAATCAAGCAAACTCTGCTTCCAAGTTGAAGCTTGCTAGTTTCGGTTATGTATAATATACAGGAGCAAATAACTAGTCCACTAAGTAGATGTTTAAAAATTTAAATATACATGAAAATTAATGCGTGAAGAGATAATTTACTACTTAGAGTAATCTGATTCTAAATGAACTCGAAGTTCCAAATAATCGATTGACTTTGATCAAACAATTACCGAGAACCGGGAAGCATAAATAGCTATTTAGTTCTAGTATAATACTATTCGGAGGTGAACCTATAAAAATCTACAAAAAATTGAATCTCGAACCTCCAACTCTCCAGACAAGCGCTTAACCACCAGACTACTAAGTCAGCACTTAAGGGTTTACATTTCTAGCTTTAGTTATTTCGCGACACTAAATGATTACATATTACCAGTAGTGATATTTATCTCAAGAGCGACATAACTGAAATCCATTAGTCATAGCTCCTTACTAAAACTTCTGTAATCACATCTCGATATTAGGTTATTGATTGTATATTTCAAACTTAGTTCTCGTATAGTCTAGAAAATCAGATCGGACACACTTGAATAATTATACTTGAAAATCCTTTATAAATCGACAAAATGAGAAGAAACAGAACAACAATCACAAACCTTTAAATCTCTGTGTACAATTTTCTTTTGGTGACAATATTCAACTGCTGAAACAATTTGACGAAATGCAGCACGTGCTTCACGTTCTTTCATTCGACCATGAGCTACTAAGTGATCAAATACTTCGCCTTTAATAATTCATTTTGCATCATAAAAGGAAAAGGAAAAGAATGAAAGGGAAACTAATTATCACTTGAATAAATCATAGTTACAAATATTATTGATTATGAATAAATCACCCAAAAGGAAGGTATACAACAATCTATTTTGAAAAGAAAAGAAAATGTAGTTATCTATCTTATATTTGCTTAATTCTCAAACATAAAAGAAACGTTTAATATACTAAGCAGAAAAACAACAACAACAACATCAACATTACTAATGATCAACAAAGTGTAGAAAAACATGAATACTGTAAACAGTAGAATGATATAGTAAACAAACTCGATGATTGTTTTGAAGATAATGATGAGTTAAAAAACTACTGAAAAGATCTACAAGCATTATGCACTATTATATAAATAAAAGAATATTTACTATAAATTTTTATCTGAGGTAATCACTATCTAAATATGCACCTGGTACGGTTGAAGGTGCAATGAGTCCTCTCTCCCTCTCGAAATACTCTCACATGGCAACACGTATACAACCACTGTCATACTCACATGCCTCCTCGCGGCAATACTGTTTTTTACGAAATTAAGAGGACAAAAAGCGAATGTCCGGCAATTTAACCGGGTTGGTGGACACGAAGAGTCCACCTAGGAGAGTTGGAAAACCCTGGTTTCAAACCGATGGTACAAATGGGCTCAAGTATCCTGAGAGAACAAATGGCGTAAGAACCTATTGTTGGTCACCGGCTACCAAAGGACTGCATTTCCTGACATTGCTTCACTGCCTTGTAGATCAGACCTTTAAGTCAAAGGTTCCGGGTGTGACCCTCTAAGGAAACCACCTGCTTCGATTTGGGCACCCAGTCAGTATCATAGCCCATATACAAACCAAATGTTTTGTGTGGCGCATATATATTTGGTGCTCCATTGTACCAATATTGATGTGTTCAAATAAATAAATAATAAATTGACAATTAGGTACGTAATGGATTTAAAAAGTAACAACAACAAAATACATTGTCCAACTATGTCAGACTTACACAGTGTCTCATACAATTCGATCATCATAAGTAACAAATAAATAAATAATAAACATAACTGAACAATCTGTAAGACAAGATACCAACCACATAGTTAACTAGTTATAATTCTACACTTGATACACATGTCTTCAGTCAGTTATAAATAATGTAGAACCTAGCATATATGTGCATCAGTCCAAATTGATACAGCACATTAGCAAACCGAGAACAAATTATTGAGATAAATAGCAGAGTGGTAGAATTAGTAAAAACAAAACAAATGGTAGTAGAAAAAGAATAGACAGTGACAATAGAATATGAGAAAATGAATGAATCAGCAGAATATAAAGTATAAAATTGTTTAAAAACTCAAGATCTAAACAAAGATAAAGAGTGAATAAATTTACACCATCGCGAACAATTCTATACTATGTAACACACACAACCATGTTACAATAATAGTTCAGATCTTAATCAGTTAATGTACACTTGCCAACATGGATTAGTTCAACAGTTAATGACTTCATGGAGTAGTATCACATTTTAGTTTGACCACTTCGAGATCATAAAAAATCGCATGTTAAGGTAAGAAGTGTTTAGGCATACATATAATACATGCTCCAACTAATCCAATCAATAAAGATTCACAACCACATTAAACTATTCACATCTTTACTCAGTAGTTTGAGTCTAACAGTAACATTGTTAACTTATCTCTTCAGTAGAGATTTTGTTTAGAACACAAAAACAAAACAGAAAAAAGAGAAGATATCCGTTATAAGCAGTAAAATATACAACAATAATATTCTCATGAAAACATGAGAACTTATGCAAATTATTCAATTTAATGTTAGTTTTTATTACAGATTAGAAATGTAGAATTCAGATAGTAATTGACACATTGCTTCGAACTAGTATTTGAAACCTTTCAATAAAGAATATAAATCATTTACGATCCAATATAATGTTGAACTCATAGAAACTTTAAAGCAAATATCAAAGAGTACTATATGTTTTATTGATTTATTTATTTAAACACATAAACATTTGGTACAAGCAGATGATACCAAATAGATATGCTCCACATAAATCATTCGATTTATGCGAGAACTAGGATACTGCCCGAGTGACCAAATTGAAACAGGTAGTTTTCTTAGGAGGCCACAACCAGAGCCTTCCACCTAAAGGTCTGATCCACAAGCAGTGGAGCAATGTAAGGAGATGCAGTCCCATGGTAGACGGTGACCAACGGTTGGTTCATATGCCATTTGTAACTTCAGGATATGGGAGACCATGTGCAGCATTGGTTTGGAATCAGAGTTTTTCAACTGCCCTAGGTGGACTTTCCGTGTCCACCAACCCGTTTTAAACGCCAGACATTTGCTTTTCGTGTTGTCAATTTTGTAAAGAACACCCCGACCAAGAGAAGGCAATGAGTAGGACTTCCCTAACAGTGGTTGTACGCAAGTGACCATGTGAAAGCATTTTTTGAGGGAGAGATGACTCTCTCCACTCTCGGTCGTACAAGGGCATTTGGGGGCTCTACTATTTTTAAACCACTAAGTCACTATATTCTATGATTATGATTGAACTCCACAAATTATGATTTCAGATGGAAATAAAACAACTAGAGAATCTATTACAAAGTTGGTCACAGGTAATACATTACAAATGTCAATTCTTTCTAGTTCTCAATAATTAATTAAAATGGTAACAGTCCATGATAAAATAAATATGAACACTAGTAACATAGTAACTATGCACGATAATTAGGATAAATGGACAAGTTTTAAAAAAAGAATGAATGAAGCAAGATGAAGACTGAAGAAAGAAAGAAAGAGAAAAAGAATTAACCATATTGAACACGATAAAATAAACATCGATTGTAGAATAGTATATGAATAAATATGTATATGTATATCTAGAATATAAACAAATTATGTGAACATTGAATTACAGTGTAAACACAAATTACATATGCCCTCATATATCACAAGATAGAGACCGAAAGGATTCACAACAAAACTATGTCGATACATACACACACCCACACAAAGTATTGTGCCAGCAACCAACAAAGGTCAAAAGATGAATGAAAATGCAAATAATAATAATAATAATAATAATAAGTACGAAATAGCAATAGTTATATGATACACAAAGTAACCATAATGGATTGTAACGCCTACACAGTATTATACTCACAAATAAACATGTGTTGAAACAATAGCACTTTGATGATTATACTTTTTTTTTCTATTTTCAAATTAGAAATACCATTTCAAAGTTAGAATAATAAGTAGCACTAATCATAATACACTGAGATCAATATTCACCATATACAACTAATAACTGCTTTGAACGAATGCCAAAAAAAGTAAATGACGATTATGAAACAATCATAAATGGTAATATGTAGATAGATGAATAATCAAAGTAAATGGAATTTGGAAATGTTTACTAATTTCATCATATGATGTATTTGATGTTCTACTAGAAGAAAAGATTGGTAGTCTGTATAATATGATCAATGGACGAAAAATTAACATTAAACAAATTTTGAAGAGTTTAAGTCAACGGTAATTATCAGAAAGGGATTTTTGTGGATATTATATTCATTTTAATAGTTCAAATCATGAGACAATTGAACCTGAACGACCGTTTCGTTCTAGTATGGGACACCTCAGCAGTGAGCATCCACGATCAATGGAAAATACTTAATGTTGTGTGCAACGATAACTTAGTGATAAATACTAAAAATCACGAGTCTCAGTGATTAAACATGAAATTCTTATGAGATGATTACAAAACAAGTATGTAATTGAAGTAATTTGGTCAAAGTGGAAAAAGTTAACTGACCAATATACATAATGGTTAAAGTGAAAACTGACTACACTGCTAAGCAAATGTAGCAAGTATTTGCTTCGGTAATAATATTCATCAGTGAAAATATATTGAATGTAATTCAGAAACTTTAGACAACATACCACAATTTATAAGCCTAAAATATAAAAGGACAGACTGTACAACACACATTAAATAACCGTCGAACAACGGTGTCTTCTCAGAACATTTCCAGATACTGATTAACTGTACGCGTTAAGAATATAATTCATCATTTGTCCAAATCGATTTAAGTAAAGTGATTAAGTAAACAAGCATATTGACGGGATTTCAAGAACCAAATAAAATTATTCCAGTTCATGATGAGCAAGAATTAGATCCAACACCCAATTTTTAATTAATTAGAAAGTATGTAACTGTGATTGCCTATAACATTTTTCAGCATTACTTTTAGTTTATTTATTATTTATTTGAAAACATAAATATTGGTACAAATAGGGTATCGAATACATATGGGCCACATAAGTCAATTGATTTGTGTGTCGGCTGTGACACTGTTCGGATACCCAAACCGAAACTCGTGATTTTCTTAAGGAGCCCCACACCCGGAGCCTTCAATCTAAACGTCCAATTCAACCGATGACCCCAATAATTGGTCCATACGTCATTTATTCCCTCAGGATCCTGTAGTACATGTGCACCATTGGTTTGGAATCAGGGTTTCTCAATTCCCCTAGTTGGATCATTCGTACTCGGATATTCGCTTTTCATGTTGTCAATTTCGTAGACAATATCCCCGTCACGAGAAGGCAGTGAGTGGGATATCCTTGGCAGTGATTGCATATAACCTTACCATATGATAAAATTTTGAGAGGGAGGGATAACTCTCCCCACCTTCGGTCGTCTCATGGTGTTTGGAGGTGTTACTTTTAGAGTTAATATTCATTAAAAAGCTGTATTATTTCAGAACATAGTAAACGATCTTGTCTTTGATTTCAAACAGTTCAGTAGCTTAAATCAATAATTTTATTTCACAAGTAACTATTAGTTGGTTACATCATATCATAACACATTGTCTATTCATTACTATTATACTTATTGATTTTGACAAGAGATAATTTGTTCATTAGAATTCTATTTTATAAAGCA